TAGCCTTTACCAAGTAGATTGGAAGCAACTTCATCAAATCATGAAGGAAAGGGATCTGCTCTAGGCTAAACTTCTAAATATGCTGCAGTCACTTGACATTCTGTTTCCCAGTTTCATTTCCCTCTAACCCTTCAAAAAGGTATGTCCTTGATGCTCCTGTACAACACCCCATATGTTAGAAATGCTCAGTGAAGACTAGCTGATCTTGCAAATAATCCAAAGAGTGATCTAGTTTGTCCTTCAGCTGGCATGCCTGCTAACCCTTGGACTTCTGACTAAGGGGTTGCTCCTCTAGGGTGTTTCAAAAGTCACTGCAGTAGAGATATCGTTAATCTTGTGCAGAAAGAGAAGTCATTCAAAAGAAGGATTTGTTAGTGACCATTTATAACAAAAACACCACAAAAGCACGTCAGAGGTAACGCAAACCAGGCTCATGTTAACTCGCTATTGTGAGTCCCTGACTCATATTTTCTTGGAGGGACTCATATTTGCTAAACTTCTAAGTCTGTGGGACTCATTGACAACCACCTGAACATGTTCCCACTGAGCTGAAGCTAGGCCCCAGGACTCAAGATTTAAAAAAGCTAGTGTGAACCCTGTACAAGACTTCAATGAGAAGGACCATTTTTTATGGGTTATCTGAAAAGAAAAGCCACTCAGCATTATGCATTACCAGTATAGCTATTTTATTTCAGTGCACAGTTACTTTTTAAACACCCTGTATATAGTAAATAAAAAATCCCAACCTGGAAACAAACTTTGACATTCCACAGTCTTCTTAACCTAAACTCAGTCATGGTATTCTCTCTTAAGCATCCCCTTTGTACTGCTGGTGGAATTCACTGAGATGTATTTGCCCTAGATGAAGACAAACCAATTGCATCTTCACAATTACCTTGTGCATCGCCTTGTCCATTATTCTAGCAATGGAGTTCATTTTGATTTTAGCAATTACAATGTCAAACCCAGTCCCCCTTGCTTAACTCCTCATGACTCCCCTTCTCCAAATATATCTGTCACTTCAGGAGAGCTTCATAGCTCGCAGTTTCTTATCTGTCTCATTTCTTCCTTGAAGAATTCTCTGTGCTTTCATCCAAATTACAGTCTACAGTGTTTCCCATTGACTTTCATACCCGCTGCATAACATTATGCACAAGCAGCATATTGCTTCATACTCCTTTCAAAATGACCTGCACATGTTGCATGTGATCAATCTCAATCTCATCTGAGATTGGGAAGGTGATACGTGATGCCTACATTTATTAACTTAACCTTTACATGCTGAGCATTTCCAAATTCAAACAGAACATATCAGCTGAAAAATTCAAATTTTGAAATATTCCAATATAAATATAGCAAAATTCAACATTTTCATTATAAATGCTGTTTTAAAATTGAGCAAAATGTGCATTTTTCACTTTAATGCTCTGTTCGAATTTGGAAACATTCAGCTTGTAAAGGTTAAGCATGTTTGTGCTGCATCAGAAGTGGTATTCATGGTTCAACTCACTTGTGGGATGACACTTATGCCATTCAGCTGTTGACAATTGCTGCGCAAAGCCTCCCTATGGGGATTGCCAGTGACAAGTGCATCCTTCCAAAGGGATAAAAATTTGCAGATGTGATTGCAAGGAAAAAGGCCATCATGGGCTCATCTACTTGTGAGTAGGTTTTGCTAGATGTTCATTCTGTTGCTTGCTTGCTGTTGTATCAGGCAGCATGTTGAGCATGGGAGTCCTGCTGCCACTTATGATCCCCATCATCTGGGAGAACACCACTCACTTCTGAAGTGACAGCTGCAGGTTGCAGTATAGACATGTACACCACCCAAAACCAATCCATTCACAAGTATGAACTCTAACATCACCCCAAACAGTGTGCATGAATGCTGTGCACAAGACAAAGGAATACCTGAGATGGTGTTATAGTTCTATAGAATGACCTGGTAGTGATACATGACTGTCTTGCAGATTAATGCCAATGGGTTGATATCTATAACATAAAAGGAACCTGTATACTGAGTTTCAGCTCTCCATGTCTGAACAGCTTATTGTGTGCCAAGTTTCGCCTTTCCATATAAGCTTGATTGGCCAAAAAGGAAAAAAATTATTTTAAAATGTCATCCAGTGAAAAATATGCCCCCAGGGAATTTTTCACAAAAATAAGAAATTACCTGAAGTCAGGATCTCAACAGTTACTGCTACACTAGGTTTTTCTCTATTTTGCTTAAACAAAGAATCATGCAGTGTCCTGAAAAGGGGCCCTTAGGGCATTTACCTTCCAATTTGGACCTTTTTTTGGGAGATCTGCAGTGTAACAGCTATTTGTGAACCAACTTTTGCTTTTCTGTTTTTGGGTGTTTTGCGAAAGCAAAAGTATTTTTTGAAAAAATTCCCCCCCTGAAAAAAAGAATAATATATATATATATATATACAGGGTTGGCCAAAAATGTAAGCCACTTCAAATTTTGCTATAAAATCCATATTTTCAAATGGATTTACTTGAAATTTTAAATGAATGCTTTGTAATATGTTCTTGAAGAGCCGCTGTAGTTCCATGCACTTTTGACCACCCACTCATGAGTTATTGCAGATTTTGTCAATATGGTCAAAGTTCCAAGTGAATAGGCATGCAACTGCTGCTGTGAGGCATGAATCCATGTATGATTTCTGTTTTAATAAAATATGTTTCTCAGGACAGATCATGGTGAAAACTTAACAGGTTGTTGTTAAATGTAAGTTTTTTACCATCTGAAGATATACATGTGCATGAATTTCCAGGCATTCCTATGCAAATGTGGGCTATTTCACAAATTTCGTTTGCTTCAGTGAATCAGCTTGGTACAGAAATAGTTACACTGCAGACCCCCAAAAAATCCAAATATATATCTAACATATATAGACGATAGTGAATGACTGACACTAATTTAACCATGTTCTAGAAATGGCGAGTGGCAGGAACTTGGTACACAAATAGCAATTAGATTGCTAACGCCAGAAAAATTCCAACAAGGTACATGCCCTTGTGGCACATTTTGAGAGGGACAGATTTCGTAGGTCTGGACCTAACTCACAGGACACCTAGGCTAATACCACTCTTATTCACTTTCTTCCTTCAAGGAATCAGGAAGGAAACCAAAAAGCTGTTGGATTGTGTATTGCAGATAAAGTTTGACTTTGAAGGTACATGTACTGAAGGGACTGATTTAGCAGGCCTATGTCTAACCCTCAGACAAACTCTCAGGCCTACAGCAATTTTGACCCATTTGCATCCAGGAACTTTTTGGCATATTTGACCAAGAATCCTGATGCCTTAACCTGAGGTGCGAGGCTTTTTGGCCTATGCCTTTCTAGGTCATAGGCTCGGTAGAAGGACACAAGTAGTTGCATACCGATTTGCTGATGGATGCATATGGGTCACATGTTTTCTAGCAGGGAAACGCATAGGAAGATTTTCCCTAGACATTGCGATTTAGTGTGCCTGTGCCTATTCCACTTACAGACGCTTAGGTTAATGCCATTTCTATGCAAACCCTTCCTTCAACAAAATGAGAACACGAAGAGCTATGAGCTGCATTTACAGGATGACATATTTTCTAATGGACAACTGTATGTAGCCTTGGGAAAAGTTTGAAAAAGGCACTTTATTAAAGTGCTTCTGCCTAATATATAGTCTTTCTTAAGCTTTACCCCAAATCTGCAAGCTATTGCCAATAATTTGGCCTTTGGATTTGATCTCTGTTCTGCATTTGAGTTAAGAAGCTGGGCATTTTCTGCTGCCTTTGGGTATTTTCAGTTAGAATTGGCACCAGAAGTAAATTCTTTTACTTTATGTATGCATAGATTTTAATTTATATACCATATACCAGAACATTGGTTGAATTACTGTCAATTTCCTACAATCCATACTATATATATTAGATGCATATTTGCGCAGGGGGGCCAGACAGTTGTAGACAATTTGTTGTTTACTTCTCACCTGTCTCATTGGATTTTCACTGGTGAAGCTATTATCTTTTATTCATCAAAATGCAAAATGTACTTGTTGAGTGGACATGTCTGCTTCACAGACCTTCATGTACCAATTGCTGTCTCAGATGCCAGGTCCTTGGGGTCTGGTTACAATGTGCCTCTGGCTTGAAATTAGGACCTCACTCCCTATATGGGTCTGGATGTGACAGTCTCACCATTAAGGCATCAGGCCTGTTTCACATGCTTGATCACATAATTGTTTTCCTTTGATTCCATTGAAATAAAATTCAGACCATCTTCCATCTGTAATAGCTATGGCTTTCATTAATTGTTTTGCAATTAATATCTCTTTGTTGATCATAGTGATGAACTGAAAGGGCATATTGAACTAAGGAACCAGCTCTTTAATAATATCTATTTTTGGTGCAGTATTGGGCTTTGACATATACTCAAACTGTTGCATAATGTTCTAATATATCATTTCAACTAAAAATGCTAAATAAAACAGGTACTTTCTATTGCACCAATTACATTACATGGACATATGCAGACATGCAACATGAAAATTAGTCTCAAAAGTTCTTTGGCAGTTCTTCCATTATGGTAACCATATTATATCAGGTTTTGCAGATGTCTGCCACCGCCATTTCCACTCAAGAAGTTCAGGGAACCATTCTTAGAAATGAGATATTTACTTTAGTTTTTGCCTTTAACCAAGAGAGTGATTTATTCCTTTGCAGGAAAACCTAACTATTTCTCTCTCATGTTGAACATGAAGATGAGGAACTGATCTCACTGATTTTGATACCTCCTGTGATCATGTGACCATCTGTGAAGAATTATTTATCTGAAACGTTGAAATCCTCCAGTGCTGGGAGTGGACTCAATCTATAAAGGCCCTGGTCTGGTCTCCCCTGGTCAGTGACAACTTGAAATTCTCAGCATGTCAGAACAAGAAGTGGTGGATGAGTACATGTCCTCACTGCGGGATCTGAATCTCAACAGCAAGCCCTTGATCAATATGCTTACCATGCTTGCAGAAGATGGAATTCAGCATGCACCTGCCATAGTTCAAGCTGTCGAGAGGCATCTGCAACAGGTTGAGTTGCAATCTATGTACTCAAGAAGAAAAAATTGAAGAGTTTGTTTTCTTCCTTGCAAATCCTTGTAGAGTTTTATTTAATGGCACAGATTTTTAAAAGTTCAGCCTCCAGTTGGGGTCAGATTGTTATTGCTAAAAAGCATTTCAGCATTGACTTAGATAAAATGTTTTTTTTTTCCTCTGATATTTGCAATCATGTTTGGTCATAGGTTGCATCAGCTGAAGATTTTTGTGGCACCTTTCACTTGATGGTTTTTTTGGCTTAAAAACATAGTTTATGTTTTTAAAGATATTTTCCACTGGGTGACCATTAATTGAGTAGGCTCTTTTATGGTTTATAATTCAGTCCTCAAGCAACTACTGTCTCTTCACATTTTTTTCCTTTCTCTTTTTTCCAGGTGACACATCTTGTATAACCCCTGTTGCTCAATAATATTTTCCTTCTTGGTTTTCACAGTTCTTTTTGCATAAAAGGGTTAGTAATATCACTCAAAGTGCAAATCAACATGTAGTTTTGATATTTCTTATGCTATCAACTGTAATTAAGTAATTGATTGCCATGGTAACCATTGTGTTGTCAAAATCTGAATGGTGCCATTGCTTCAAAAAGAGTGGCTCATTCATGGGTGAAATTAACATAAAGTAATTAAAAGGTTTTAGTTACAGTCCACAGTTGTGTGCCAGGTGAGTGAAGGGTTAAGCATCGCAATCAACAAGTTCAGTGTACAAATTGAAGCAGCCATTATAGGTGGCATACATTGAAACTCGTTGAAGCCTGAATCCTCTGGGTCTAACTTGGAGTGCAAGGCTTGGCCAAGAAAATGACTGAAAGAAATGACCTTTGACCTCTAATATCTCAAAGAGGAAAGGTCACATAGAAAAATGAACTTGACTGGAAAACCCCAGGGATTTAGTAACTCCCACACACCATGAAGGTGGTTATTTTGATGAAAAATAACCCTGGTGACCCAAGGTGGCCCAGCAACCCATTGGAGGTAGGGCCACCAAACTCCATCGTCCTGATGCCCCACCCCTAGGAAGCCTATGTTTAAAGTTTCAGAGTCAGATCAAAAAGTCTAGGAGGAGAAGCAGCCTTGGACACACAGACACTAGTGCTCATTATTAAGGTAGATTCCATATGGAGGCCAACTCCAGAAAAGGATAATTCAATAAAGTGTTACATAGAGGAGACTCGCAGTGTCATGAAAGGATGTCCTAATGATAGGTCAGCACTAGGAAAAGGCAAGAACAGAGTGAAACAGGAAAGAGGGCTAGAGGAGTAGTGATGCTTTGAGATCAGAGTTCCTTCTCCCTTCTGAAGAAAATATTTGGATCCCAAAATGTCACTGTACCTCCAGTCCTCTTTTTTGCTATCTTTCTTTCTCCTGTTTAATGCTGCCCTTGCTTTTGCCTTGTGCCAACTATCAGAAACCTGTTCTGACACTGGTTATTCTCAATACAACTACTTTTTTTGGTTCTGCCCTGCCATTGAATTTACCAATTAATGGGAAACCCATCACATTGGGCCAAACTTGAGGGTATAGGCTTCTGGTACCATACAATTTCTTTGCAATAGCAGGAATCAATTATACCCTATATTGATCTTAATGTTTTCTCAGTGTCATACCCAGTCAGTCATTCACTCCATACGGGATTTAATGGCAGCCTAGTTTGTAGTTCCCATCCTGTTATGGTACCCTCAGACATGGAAAAATTCAGACTGAGCAACCATGCATTATGGCTCTTTTCTTTCCTCCTTGTCATTCTTTCTTCAAAATGCCCTTAATGATCAGAATCTGCTTTGTTTTACTTCTGGCTGAACACCCTCCAGCTATTGAAAACTGTCCACCATACCTAGGAAGGGCAGAGGTGCTGCATCATTTACATTATGCATATGTATTTATATTACATATGCAATGTATATAATGAGCACAGGGACAATATGGCTACTTGGAAGTTGTCAAATCAATTTCCCCATTCATTGATGAATAGTCATGATGGACCAAGGATATTTCAGGGTGTACTGATCCACAGGAGAATGGCAATAAATACATCTTTTCCCCACCCCTTGCTCATCAGCCAAATGATGCCATTGATTTATTTTTAATAGCACTGCCACAATGGTCATTAAGAGGGGAAAACCTGACTCCAGGATATAGTAGAAGCACTGTAGCAATGTTTTGGTTTTCCTTGGTTCCCTCCCATGCCATGGGGAGTTGACAGCTGATATTTGACAGAAGAGCTCTGTCTTATCAACCATGTGTCTTTCCTTTTAAACCAGATAGAATCTTGAGCAGAAGTACCAGTCATATGCAATTAGGTCACCAAGCTTGTATAGGCACAATGCATTACCATTAGATGTTTCAGCTACACTAGGAGCATTTCTCATGGGTGTGTGGCAGCTTAGTTTTCATCTTGTTTCCAACCTCCCAGTGTCATAATTATCTGCAAAAGAATTGTAGATGGAAATATATCAGGGTTCCATGTTGGGTATGGGAGTGATCACTTGTGACAAGGGTGGTACACCCAGTTTCCAGATATCTGATGGATCCAACTATGAATGGAGATTTAAAAAAATATAGCATGAAATGTTTAAAAATTTAAATTCTAGACAACTTAGTCAGGGGTTTTATACTTCTGTTTGCATGTAAGCTTTTGTCTTTGGGGAAAAAATGAATTTGATTGTAGAGCATGGATCCCAGTTTCTATTTGCCTGGTGCAACTGTCAAAATAAGCAGCCTAAAAGAGGACCAAGTGACAAGAAAAAGGGGTGCTGGTCTCTGTCCTGTCCTCACCATTCCATTAGTAATGATACTATATCATGGAATGGTATATTAATTCCTGATGTCCCTGCTAGTGAACCACTTTACCTTGTAATATTGAATGTCATGAGTGAAAAAATAGGAGGTCAAATTTGCCCCAATCTATTGCTATTTGAATTCTGTCACTTCATGGAGACAAGGACCAGACATTCAGGGGTTGTGCCAGGTTTCTTGCCATAGGAGTCTCAGGGACCCTCAGGTCTGATATGGAAGGGTCTCCTGATAATTAGGGGGTTTACTTTCTGTGTGAAGCATGAGGGAATCTTGAAGGGTTCCCAAAAGTGAAAGTCCAGCAATCCATGTTTATTTGCCAACTTAACATAATCAAGCGGTATGATATTCAATCCAGCAGTCTTAGGCCTTCTGCCTATGTGCTCAGGGGGGTCCCGGTATGCATAAGCAGGAGGCCAGTGCAAGTAACTTAGCATAACCCCTGATGTTAATGTCATCATTGAATAATAAATATAAGGCAACAGTACCAGCGAACAGGATTGGCTGATTTTTAAGTTAGACACTGAAATATAAATGGCATAATCTTTTGGAAGAAACAGTTGAATCATTCATTTTTGAGTCAACTCAATTTGTAGTCACCCTAAATATGGCTTCCAAAACTTTATATTTCTCTTATTGTCTTTCCTTGGTTTTTCTCACTATAATCCAGAAAATGAAATCCTTCCTTCTCCACCTATGATTGGCTCATTTGGGATTTGAATTATAATCAAGTGAGTTCTTCACTTTCCAAAGATATATCTGAGTCATTTAATAAATTTATCAGTTGTGGTCCTTCCCTTGGGTGTTCATGATCTCTTAATACATTGTACCTGTTTGATGTATGATATTTTTGAATAAAGTATTCTGGAAGTCTTGTTTGAATGAATCTTATGGCCAAATGTAGGTCAAGTGTAGTGCAAGCCTGGAAGAATGAAGATTACAACACAGACCATTACAAGTCTGCACTATTTTGAATGCTCAACTAATTCATGACAGCACGACAACACTTTATGAAAACTGCTTACATCTACAAGTTGATTGTGAGGTTGTACTAGATAAAATGACTTCTTATGAAACTCAAAATGAACTGCCGTAGTAGGAATTGATGTAACTACTGTTATCTATTGCTAAATTCTTTCATCACAGATGGCTGTCAGCTTTACTATAGCTTTTGAACATGCTTGTGATTGAATCCATGTTTAACATGTTGAGAGCCACGTGACACACTGGCGTGTCAAAAACAATTCCCAAATGGCAGCCTTGGTGGTTATTGTGAAGTTTCATCAATTTGCTAAAGGTATTGAGATAAGTTTAGACCTAGGACATCCTCCAATACTTACTTAACAGCAGAGGAATATCATTTGAAGTTTATAGGGATGATGATATTAGGGCTTTTCATTTTTCACATGTGAATGAGTGAATGGACATGTGTATCACATATTCACACAGATAGTTTCTATTGCTTGAGTATGAACTCAAACCACTGTAAGGTTGTGTTGTGTACTGCTTAGAAGTGATGAGGATTGATGCTGATGGACACCAGAAAGCTTGGAAGGAGTGGTGACGGGAGATAAGGAAGGTGGAGTCAGATATAGTAGATGTTGATTGTAAGATCAAGTAGACTGAGACATATAGACAACCTGAAGAGGAATAAGCTTCAAATGGATGCATGACAGTTTTTGGCTTGAATTTCAATACCTTTGAAATGTTACACAATTTTTTACCCTCCTAGTAGCATAGCCATAATTTTCTCCATTTCAGAGAGAGATTTCATTTCTTGTGAGCGCTAATTCCTGTTGTTTCTGAAGTGAGGATGGGGGTGGTATGCAGTAATGAACTGTAGAGATCGACCGATATTGGATTTTACAGATTTTACCTATTCCAATATTGGCTGACATATGAAGCCAATAGTCAGTATGATATTTGCCAATATTTCAGCATAAGCAAAACCATATTGAAGATTCAACTGGACAGTTTGATTTTATTTCAAATTCTTCTTGATGAACTCACAATGAAGTTAGGCTGCAATGCATAGGCCAAACCTAAGCCTTAGAGTGAATGTCTGCTTCTTTGTGCCAGACAGGAACATAAGCAGAGCAAAAGATCTGTGAATACTTGCCTCTTGGATGATGCCATATTTGCTATGTCACACGTCTCGAGGGATTCCATATGAACACAAAAAATATAGTCCTAGTCATGTTTTCTTTCACTGTATAGATCTAACTGAACTCTACTTCTGATATAGGCAAAAATTGAGAGGGCTTGAAAGAGCTGATGTGAATACTCGCCAATATGCCCATATTGGCTTATATATATCAGCAACCGATATATTGGTCGATCTCTAATGCTTTAAGTCTTTAACTGCTTCCCTGTTGTGGACACATGTGATTTAAACTATTTACTGGCCTGTCCAAGTAATAGACATTGGTCTCTCAACTGCTGTATTTACCAATTGGGCTATCCCTGCTGGATTGTATTCTTGAAAAAATATTTTATGCCAGTAAGTTGATAAGCACTGCGATGCAGTTACCTGATTTGAAGGTGATTTAACATCTTGGTGTTATATTTTTTTCAGGGAAAATGTGCCATTTTTAAGTCTTCAATACTTGAACCTGTGTTGCTAGATGGCCATACAGGGGTAATACACAAACCTTGCTGCACAGTTCAAACCAAACCAGTTGTCTCAATCATATTTATAACATTTAAAAAAATTTAAAATGAAGTAAGGGACTGGGCTATGCCATCAAATGATGGCAAGGGGTTAATTTGAAAAATAATGTAATTCTACTAGAGCATTTATTGACTGTCAGAAACCACAATTGATGGGTGTTGTGTGTAGGTGCTGCAATAATACCATAATGATAGAGAGCAACATGTAAAATCTATCCTATAAGCCTCTGGAGAAGTAAGTTTCAGCCCACCACTGCACAGTGGTACAAAAGTAGGAAATTCTTGGACAAAATTCATATTTTGAAAATGGAGGAAGAAAAAATATTTTGTCGTTAAAGGTTACTGATTAAAGTCCTTGTCCTGCATCGCTATTTCTCCAGGCCTTCTTCTGGTCCTTTATTAGCCTGTATGTGGTACAAAGGTCAATGATTAGAACTTTTCTTAAAATGTAGAAACTTGATGCCAAATTGTGACAAAGGTTTGTCATATTATACAACTGTTCTTGTCGTTTTTTCATCAAGTGCGATCTGAAGTTGTATCTAAGGGTGAGTCTTGCTTATTGTATGTACAGTTTTACTCCTCATGTATATGCATAACTTGTGTTATTTATTAGTTCCTGTGCAGTCGATCAAGGAACAACTTCTAATGACAAGGTAAATTTCTTGAGTGAATTTGAAATACTTCTCAAGATTTCTCAGAGAATTCATTATAGGCCAATTAATGAAGAACAAAATCATCCCCTAATCTCCTGTGCCCAGCTGCACCTAAAGTGAGGAAAATTTTTTGAAGACCAATTCCAGGCAATTGACATCGCTGTCTGAAAACCTCTTGGTCTTTCTGCCAGACTTAGCCCAAAGAACCAAGGCAAGACTTCTGATAAGCTCGGCATTTTCAACAATTCACACTGCCCTGACTTGTGAAAATCTTGGCTTATTTTATAATGGGCTTGAATGAACTTGTCCAACACAGGAATGACACTTGAGTCAACAAGGTCAGCTTGGTTCATCTGCCTCATGATGTTGTAGATATCCCTTTGGGTCAAAGGCATTGGTTTTTTTCCTGAAGAAATTGCAAGATCAATAATATGGAAGAAAGAAAAAATTTCCCCTCATTTTATGTGCAGCTGAGTGCAGGAGATAAGGGCTGATTTTGTTCTTCATTAATTGGCCTATAATGAATTCTCTGAGAAATCTTGAGAAGTATTTCAAATTCACTCAAGAAATTTACCTTGTCATTAGAAGTTGTTCCTCGATCAACTGCACAGGAACTAATAAATAACACAAGTTATGCATATACATGAGGAGTAAAACTGTACATACAATAAGCAAGACTTGCCCTTAGATACAACTTCAGATTGCACTTGATGAAAAAACGACAAGAACAGTTGTATAATATGACAAACCTTTGTCACAATTTGGCATCAAGTTTCTTAATTTTAAGAAAAGTTCCAATCATTGACCTTTGTACCACGTAAAGGCTAATAAAGGACCAGAAGAAGGCCTGGAGAAATAGTGATGCAGGACAAGGACTTTAATCCATAACCTTTAACAACAAAATATTTTTTCTTCCTCCATTTTCAAACTATGAATTTTGTCCAAGAATTTCTGACCTCTGTACCACTGTGCACTGGTTAATTTCTGGAGAGCTTCAACCTAACCTGTGGTCTTGACACATTAACACGTTGGCGACAATGCGTCCTGATGCCAGGATGCAGATTTTTTTTCAATGAATACCCTCTGGAACTGTTGAGAACGTTCCAGAAGATTATGATTTCGTAATTACTGATAAAAATTCCAAAAAATTCAACATTTTAAAAAAACTCGGCAAAAAAAAATGTTTTCTGGGACCACGTGTCCTGATGGCAGGACGCATTTTTTGACAAAAAAAATGCACGTGGTCCCACGCGGCGGACAGGCAAAAATAGGCTGGTCGTCAATGATAAGCAAAAATAGGCTGGTGTTAAGCCCCGGAACCATAATTTTACATTTTCATGTAGTCTAATTTTCACATGCCCAGGACTCAATGTGTTAGCATTCGTGCTCTTGTGTGATGTATTGGAGAGAATGAGAAGAGGAAAAGGGGATCAATTAATTTCCCAGAGTTTTAGATGTATGCATATCTCTACTCATACAGGCAACAGAGATTTTCATTTTATTTAATATTATCTTCCTTTGTATGATGGTTTATCCTTCAATAGAGGGTGACAATTGGATAGATTGGATGGATGATGGTTTCTGAATGAAGACCAGTTGTTTCATGGAAGGATTTTTAAAAGGGGGAATTCTTGGCCACAGGTGGATCCAGAAGTGAAGCTACCAGTTCTATATCTCATCGACTCAATTGTGAAGAATGTTGGTAAAGAGTATACGCCTCTCTTCACTCAGAACATCGTGTCTACATTTTGCAGTGTCTTCGAAAAGGTATCTTATTTTCTTTGACATTATCAACTTTTTCCTGAGGTGAATGGTGAAGGATTCAAGATGCTCTGCTGTTCATTATTAGTTTTAATGCTTTCCCAGAATCTATTGTTTATTGATCCTTTCATAGCTAGGGGGGAAGGGTCATGTTGACCCACAACTCATTTATGTTGTTTATGTGGACAAAAGGATTGAGATGAATTCTGAAAAGTTTCTACAGTGCTTATCGAATGAATTCATCCCCCCTGCAGTGGGCAGTGGTGCTGCTGGCTGTGAGAAGAGAGTGACATCTGTTTTTCATCCCATAAACAGCTAAACTAATCACATTTGCGATCCCAGCAAGGTACCCAACTACCATAGACCAGAATGATACCTTGAAGGAGCTTCGCAAACTTGACATAATACAGCTGATCAGAACAAGTAGGAACCAACATTCCTTTAAAAAGTTCGAGTGAAGTGAACCTTGAGGAATGTCAGAGCACCTAAGTAAAAATGATATAGTCACCTTGGTGTCGACGCAATCACGGAATCAGTCATATATATCATTCTGAAGCATTTTTATTTTTACCTTATAATTTTATCATACATGGAAAGACACACCTTGAAAAAATTCACATTTCTCAATATTCTGAAAAATCCGAAGATGAGTTAAACGAAATTTTAATTAACTTTCTGAATCCTTCTCCATAGTCTTGGTTTTCATGGAAGCTTTCCTTTCCTTTTCCCTTCTAGGAAAACCTCATATGGCAGGCGATCTACGTTCAATGTACTTTTAACAAATAAGAAGAAATGGACTAGAATCCAGTTGATGCCTAAGTTAATGAATAAAATTGATCAAATGTAGAAATACAAGAAATTTGAGTATAGAATGTAATTTTTCCCTCCTCTGAGTCTAAATAATGATTATGAAATCTTTCATTAGTCAATGGGTATCGTTGATGTGATTAAAATGAATGAGAGAAAGAAGTTAGGGGCATGTCATTATCTCCCCAAAAGAGTCTTTCATAAATTAATACAAATTATTTTGTTGGAAGACTAAGCGAGATTTAAATGGAAAACTCAGAATGGATGAATACACTTTCCCCAACCGTTTTGAATGCAGGACAGCGACGTGGGCGACATCTACCTTGATTAGTTGTTATTAGCGGTTACAGCATCCGCAGATGCGTCATAGAAAAGCATGGCGAGTCATAGGAGCCCTTAGTAAGAGGGGGGTGAATTTATTCGATAAGCACTGTAATTGTCATTTGGTACCTTTTTGAACATATCCTGGAAGGATATTGACATTTTGAAAATTTTATAGATTTTATACTGGAGATGCTTTGAAAATCTGATGGAAAATAAAGAATCAGTGAGGTTACTTGTCACAGGTTTGCCACATGCCATCACTTGCTGTTTAACCCTTATCTGGGCAAGGGGCCCATTGAACCCCAAGGCCTCAATTTTTCTAAGCAGCTTTCAAACCATTGCATATATTTACTGCTCTTTTCATTATTTGTCCTTTAAGTCAAGGAGCCCCTGATGCAAGAAAATCACCTACCTGGAACGTTATTAAAGGATTTAAAAAATAATTTTGATTGGAGTAACGTAACTGGGCAAGTTGTGCAGCTAGCAAGTGTCTGCATGCCATCCAGAACGGCAAAGGATGTTTGCTTCACTGGCTTAGACGAACGCATCAGCTGGCATGTCCGTTGGATTTTCTTAGCCTTTAAGTAAGTCACATGATACGTTCGGTCAATATCGTTCAAAATTTGCAAAAGCCTTCTTTCGTCGATCCACATGCATTTTGTGAAATATTGGGCCAAACTGATGAAATTTACTAACATTCCGCTAAATAAAGAATTTGCACGTTTTTTTGAGCTTGTACGGCACACTTTTTTACATGTCAAGTTTGAAATGCCATAGAACAAGATACAATGAGTCAATTTTCTTGAAATTTGGCACATACCTTCTTTCCTCTACCTACATGCAGTGTTTATAAAATTAAGTTGATTGATAAAATTTACTGTCATTAATAGTGAAAATGATTTGGCACAGTTTTTTCTTAAACACCGTGTAGAACCGTATCATATATGGAATTTTCATGTGCGTTAATTATTCCTTCATTTTCTAGGTTGACCATTTAACAGTGCTTTTAAAAAGTAAAAAAAGTGACAGATGCTCATGAGCTTGGTTGACTTTTAGTGTCATCCTTGTGTATGCCATTAATTTACATTGACTTCAGACATGATCATGCCAAGATTACTCCCACACATGAATTGGAATGACTCATTATCCTTTGAAAAGTCAGATTTTATTAATTCAAATCTGTCTTTCTGAACCATGTCACTATGGATATAGTTCAGGCTAATGTGCTGGAAGTCCAGGTTTGAATCCAACCAGTAGTAGGTATTATTCTCCTGGGCTGACAATTCGCCCAGCTGCTTTTGGGTACTTCACGCTTTCCCTGGTTTGAAGCATATCTGCTCCATTATGTGAGATTTAGGGGTTCAGTGTACCACCAATAGCACCTGCCACATTGGCCCTGGTGGCCTAATGTGCAGTAATGGAGGGCTTTAAGCTAGAGCGGCGTTGGAGTTGCCATCACCTTCTGTAGAAACAGGATACATTATAATAGGAAGCATAGGAAGGTGTGGCAATGTTGTCTGGGATGTCTGATAGGGATTCTTTTTCCCCTGCTATACAGTCACTTGTGGCATTTTTCTTCGTCTTTATATATCTGTCCCAGTCCACTTCTTTTTTGTTGTTTAATGTCTTTCTTTTACCATTGAAAGCCCCCCCCCCCCAAATGTAATCTTAGATGGTACAAATATTAGCTCTCTATCCTGTTTCCACATGGTGATAAATAAGGTAAATGCCACCAAAATGACCAATTTTCCAGTTATGAACTCAATCTCTTTGTATTTTGGGTAATTGATGCTTGAATACATTCCAATACAAATTTATGTAGGTGGCCATGATTTCCATGAGAAAGCATGAGGTTGTTAAACACTGACATTTTCATATAATTTCTCATTTTTGCATTGTATTTTTTAAAAAACTAACTTTCAATTGTGGAGTTCTAGAAAAAGGGCATATGTGCAAAATATGCAATTTGAGATAAGCAATAAGAACTTCTCATAACAAATCTGAAGCTGGTCAAAACTTAATTATCAATAAAATGGTAGACCTTTTTACAATGGAATTTGGGGGTTTAATGCATTTCTTTTTCTCACATTGCTGTGATGCAGGTAGAAAGTATTTATGCACATGCCCTTTTTCCATATGCGCACTGCTGAAACTTTTTCCAACAAGCCTTTCACCACTTCTTTCTAGTTAAAAATAATAATTAATCAATAAATGCATCTACAGATTTCAAATAAACTCTTTCTTGAAGAATAGCAATGAAAATTCAGTACATGTTTCATTCACCAATTATTCAGCAGTGATCCATTATTAATGTATTCATCATCTGAATCTGTAGCTATTTCATGGATAACTCCAACTTCTCACATCCTTCCAGAGGCTTCCATGACTAGGCCTCTTTCTTTCCCTTTCCTCATGTCTGGTTTCTTCCTCATTTTCACTTTCAATTTAAAAGGACAAAATAATTCCACCAAAATCGTTCTAGTCTCCTAAATCAGCGCATGGACATGGATATGGAGAAAGGTGCATGGGCACATGCCCCTTTTCCAGAGAACTCCTCAATTTCATGAGAAGAAGTAACTAATCATTGATTTCTTTTTTTCTGCTTTGATTTGAGCTAGCAACAAGTTTTATAAGGAACAAAAAATGCAAGAAAGTTAATTTTTATGGGCCAGAAACCCAATGTTGACTATTCTCAGTATAGTCCTGCATTCAAGATATATTTAAATTCTGAGAATAACCAATAAAATTAACAAAGATGATTCTTAGTTGAAATATGTTGCCTTAAATGTAATTTATGTTTTTATTAGGAATGAAACATCATCAAATATCATTTGTGTTGATATCAAGGTTTTATTGATGTTCCTTACAATTCTGTTTCCAGTTTAGTTTCATTGCACCATGAAGTTTTGTTTGTTTTGTTATTTGACCCTGTATCCCTTAACCCTTCAAAATGGTAATTTTAAATGGTCAAATATCCCCTGCAATAGTAATATGTTTGCTGTTCTGTGTGACAGCATATGAACATCAAATTGGAAACAAGTTCACATCAATTGTGGGTTGAATTTACTTCCTACCAACAAGTTTTGATAAAAGCACACTACTGCATCACAGTCACTTTTAACATGTTTGCTCCCAACGAAAGATTTTATTAGTTTTTAATGCATTTATGCATCATCTGTAGCGAACTCATTAATTTGCACTGTAGGAGTGGGGAGGGACTTCAGTTATGAACTCCCAGAAAAAAAACCATGAAGAGGGTGAGTATTACTATCATGATGGCAAAGAGCTAGTTGCACATCTGTATTATGCCATTTGATTGAAAGAAAATGGATTCGTTTGTTTCAACTCCAATAAATGGATTTGGTAGGTGTGCCCAGGAATAATACTATGATTAAAGTTGCTGGAAGGATTCAAATTATGTATCTTGGAAAAAATAAGCATCATGGAAGAGAGTCCATCTTGAGATTGTGCATGGCTGCATGTTTCATATTGGTATTGAGTGCTCAGGCTCACTGGGCATTGGGTAGAGTCAAGGCAAAAGTGTACCCACAAATGATGGATCTTGGTCCTTGAGTCCAGATGAAATACATTCTGGTGACTTCCAGGAAGGCTTCAGTTTTCCCCCAAGCAGTGGGCATCACCATGGATGGAGATGGGGGATTTAGTTGACAAAGTATTTTATTTTCATAATTGGCTCTTGGTATGCTGCCATGGCTGTGGTATGATTAGAAATGGCATTCCACAGTTTCCATACCATGGTGACAGTGTGAACATGGGTGGTATTCCAGTTCTAATACCTTGGCAAAAATACTGAAACATGTAGAAGGGGTCAGTATGATTATCACAAGAACTGAATACTGTAGCATGATATTGGCATACAATAATGCCCTGTTGTGCAGTAAAATAAATTTTAGAATGTCAATGGATTATCTGACAAATTTTATTTAACGACTTTTTTTTTTTGCCAACCCTGTCCTGAAAGATCTCAACTTTGACATTGATGTTATTGCATCAAAATGCTGTTGAGTGCTATACCTAAGCTTCTAATGGTGTGTCATGAATTCTATCAGTTTCAAGAATGTAGGATGATTTTTTGCAGAGTAAATTTGACTTGTGCTCTTTACAAAAGAGGGGTGGTGGGTGGAAAGTCCTGCTATTTGCCCTAATGAAATGCCCTGAAGTTGATTGAAGAAACATGGAACAGGAACCCCTAATGGTGTGTAGAAGGTTCTGGTAAAGTTTGAAGGTCTTCTGGAGTTTTATATGAGGAAAACTTGTAAAATATGTAAGTGATGGATTTGTGGCTCCATTAACAAAAATATTTTCCTTTTCTTCAACCAATTTCTCTGAATCTATTGTTGTATTTATGTATAAAGGTATCCCATGAGGATGTTGCCATCATTCAGTGAAATTGCCCTTAGTGACTGTCTTGGCATGACAATGCAGTCAAGTACCTGACAGTGACACAATAACAATGGCAAAGTAGGTTGAGAGAAGGCAAAAGGAAACTCACATTTATAATGAAGCAAGCCTTTTCCATTCCATAAACATTTAACAATTTTTCCTTATATAACTCTAATCTTAAAGCCTCAAAACATTATTCGAATCTTCTAAATGTTGTAAGGACTTCCTATTCAACATTTCAATAATGAGCTTGCTCTGCATGTTTATTTAGAGAGCTTAGTAGGACTCCTGACCCTTTATGATATTACAGCTTTCTATCTGAAGAATCCTCATGTACCCTGAAACACTAATTGCTTCCAATGTCATACTATTGAGAGTTTCTATATCAGGTTTCATCTACAGGGTATAGGAAAAAGTCACATGAGTTTTACCAATTTGTCTCTGCTTTTAACTGAAATATTTTCATGAAACTTGCACCTTCATAGATCAATATGTTCCCAAGAGGCTTTTAGATTTCTTCTAAATTGATATTGCCAAAGTATGGCAATGAGCAAGCATTAAAAATGTGTACCAATTCCTTTTGAGTGCTATGTCTTCCTGCCTTGTTCTCTTATTTAAAGCAATTAAAAATCCAGAAGAACTCATTAAAACTGTTTTGAAGCTTATTGATTCACCAATCATTGATTGAAATAGCACTCATCAAAAGTATCTGCTAGAAAAAGCCAACCAAAGAAATGAATTTCAAAGGAAAAGAAGTTAGATTAAGTTGTTGAATGGTGAGAATATGCCAGCAGAACCCTAAGGCATGTTCTCCTTTCCACTACCCACATGATCTTTTGTCCATTTTCATCATTCAATTCTTTTTAACATGTTGACTGCCACGGTTTGCGACACGCTATGGCTCTGTCAGCCACATGTGGATGATATGGCAGGCAATGTGTTAATTATTGTTCATAGCCCTGCCTTGGAGAAATTCCGAAGATATTTTGGAAGCATATATATTTATGCATTGCAAAGTTATTTGAAAATAACCCCAGTTATTATCAGCAGGGGTACATTGCTTAAGAGTTGTTGGTTTTTTTTCTTTTTGCTTGCTCTATATTGCTCAAGCCCTTTTTTGTGAAGCAATATTAGTGGCAGACAGTGTATGATGAGCACATACAGGGTGAACCATAATATCTCATCCAAATTTCAATATATGCTAAAAGATCTCAAGAGAGTCCTCTGATTCTGTTATAGGCCCATTTGTTCCATCCAACCTGTATACATGCATAGATAAAATTCAATATTTTGCTGATTTATGTTTTGTGTTATGGACACCTTGAAGTTGAAGTGTGTGCCTGTGGTTGAGCTGTTCCAGAGTGGACTAAACGCTGGGAGCTTCTTTCAGCAACTCAAGTCCAGTGGTTACTAGCAAAACTTCATTTACCATGCTCTTGGGCATTACCATGAGACTGGAGATGTCAATGACAGGAAGCATACTGGCTGACTATGTTCTGTATGCATGTCGAAACTTGTCAAGAGTGTGAAGACCCAGACCAGGTGGAACCCTCAGCATACAGACTGTAAATTCGTAATTGAGAAAGATACCTTGCACACAATTACATGGAGAGTGTTGGAAGAGAATCTTGGATTAAAGCCTTTGAAGATGTGAAAAAGTCTCAACCAACAGACCAAGCTTGCACAGAAAAGGAAAAATGTTTGGCTCTGCTTCAATGGCTCACCCCTCTAAGCAAATCGCATCCTGTTCTCTGACGAAAGCTGTTCAATGTGAAAGTAAAATGGAACACCCAAAATAAGTGGAAAATGTGTCAAGGAATTGCCTGAGAGTGTGAATAAGATGCAGAGGTCACATCATCCAGTGTTGGTGAATCCAGTGTTGGTGATGGTTCAGGCTGGCATGTCTGCCATGGGCAAGACTTCCCTGGTTTTTGTGGCTCAAGGGGATCAACATTTGAAAGGAGAACCTGTGGCAGACATTCTTGAGCCTCATGAACCCCCTGACCCATTACTTGTTTAAAAACAAAAAGGAAAAAAAAGAAGAGGAATGGTGGTTCTAGCAGGATTCAGCACCTGCCTACAAGGCCTGCTTGACTCTAACCAGTGCTGGGACAATTTATCAGGTTTCATATCCACTGCTGAATGGCCTGTCTCCTCACATGAACTCAATCCATTTTACTATTATGTTTGGTCAATGTTGGAGCAGATGGTCTGCACAAAGAATCATCCAAACATGGAGGCTCTAAAGCGCTCCCTTGTGAAAGCTTGGAGCAGTCTCCCAATGGATGAGGTGTATGATGCAATCCATAGCTGGCGAGGCATAGGTGGTTCTCAAGTTTAATGAATCCAAGGTGAAGTTTATGTAATTTATATTTTCAAATTCTGAAGCCTCTGTGTCTCAAAAGTGATAATTACAAAACAAAACCTATGGATGAAATATTATGGCTCACCCTGTAGTGAGTTTGTGCTTGCAGTCATCTGAGAAAGCAGACTCTATGGGAGCTGTTTCTAGACTTCTTTGAATCATGACTTACTTGCTGTTCAAAAAATGTTGTGACCCACTGGAATCCAGAACAAGGTATTTTCAAAGTATAATTTTGACGTAAAGAAAACTGATGGACCTTTTTTGCAGGGCATGTTTTATTTGGAGCAGATGTGGATATAGGGATTTGTTATAATGGAAAAATGTACACGACCCACCTTGATGCTTCTTATGACCCACAGTTTGGGAACCACTGCTCTTGGGGATTGATGTTTCAGATGGAATTTTATTTGCTCTTGCTGGTTATTATTCTTGGAACAATGCATGTGATAATGGTTGATTTCTCATTAGGTAATGAACGGTTGCCAGAAACTCTGCAGTAGCATTAGTCAGGTATCTCTTCATTTGTATCTCTTCCAAATTGACCTATTGCCTCACCATGAAATTGGCCTAAGGCTTACCTGCAGAGCATCTTTTATATCTTTGCCATCTTCATCCTCCTCTCTAACATTGTTTGCTCTTGGGATTTTGTGAGAAATTTGAGAGGTCTATTGTGTGATTGATCTGCTCTCTTCTTAATTAAGGTTGATGAAAGAGTGCGTGCAAACATGTTCAAGTTGAGGCAGACATGGAATGATGTTTTCCCCCCCAAAAAGCTCTATGCTATTGATGTGAGAGTTCATTCCATTGATCCTGCTTGGCCCATCACTGCCCCTCCTCCAACTGCAAATATCCATGTCAATCCTCAGTTTTTACGCAAGGTGAGTGATGACAGTTCAGTTCAATTCACATTTACATGGTTAAGGCTTGTACAAGGGCATGTCAGAAGTCAAATACATTTTTTGCAGGGCATATGTACCTTTCATTGAATAGTGACAGTGCATTCAATGTATAGATCATTCCCTGTTTGAAAGTGCACTTGCTGCCAAACAAAAGAACTGATGAAGCTGGAGAATTTGCCGACTGAGGAGGTAAAGGGTATTTAAGTTTGTGCCAATGGGACCTCATCAAATATGGCAAAGGAGCTGGAATGACAGGTCAGGGTTGTAAAGTGGTCTGGATTGGTGCAAATTCAGGTTACCAGTCAATCATTGTTCCTTGGAAACACATGTACCTTTTCTTTGTGTACCCACCGTGTGAAGCTACGCTGAGAAAGTCCATATCTGTACCAGACCTGGAACCACCTTTAGAGTCCCCACAATAATCCTGATCACCTTTCCCCCACCCCTCAAAGCAGCCTGGGAGGTGATATTCTAGACAACTGCTTTCATCAACTACGAAACTTTCACCATAACCCTCTCCTTTTCCCTCACAAACTCCAGAAGCAGAGAATCTATTGAAAGTCAGGTTGCTTAGGTTGCGAGGAATGTTCATGCAAACAAAGAAGAAGTGGTCAACATTTCCATAAAGTCTCTGTAGCAGTGTAGGAAAAATATATATTTTTCCTGCGAATGGAACTTCCCAGGAAGGATATGCAAGTGGACAAAACAGGCCGCCCGCGCGTCTCCATTCCTATGAACCTTGTTCGCAGGTGCACAAGGGTTTTCCTAGCTTGCTCTGCAGTGACTCAAAGAACTTCAGATGTTGGACTAGTATTGGAAAGATTACAATTGCAGACAGTTTCTTCACAACATATCTGCAGAACTTCTTAAAAGAAGCAGATGGCACTGTTCTAGTTGATCAGCAGTTCAGCATAATTTAGCAATTACATCTCTTGAGGCTTTTCATTATAAATAATTGTCTGAAAGTGAGGGCTTACATCTCAACCCAGAAATGTTTTATGAATTAGTTTTTTCTAACAAAGATGTATTCAAAGCCTTTGCTCATTGATTTGAAAGGGTGGATTTATACAGAGTGGAAAACGTAATACAGAAGCCAGCTGCCACCACCAGCACAAAACAGAAAGCATTGGCCAGAGGCATACCTTAGTTGATGGAAGGAGCAGAATTTCTGCTACGGTAAAAATGACAGTCCATCAGCAAACCAGTCCAGTTGGATTGCTGCACACTGTATAAATTGTATTCTGTCCAGCAAAAAGTGGACATTTTTGTACTCAAGTTTGACAATCTTCTGCCATCCATTTTCCACTCTGTATAAATCCACCCACCTATGAAGCATTTGGGAATGAATATTGATCATAATCTGAAGTTCACATTGTAGATTTAAGCAGTCTGCTGCAAATTCTACAGCACAGATTGTACTATGCTATGAACTTGATGTAGCACATATCAGGCTCTCTCACTCCTGTGGCTAAATTTGTTGATGACTGCTTTATCCTAGTAGTGCAGTGTGCACTACTTCATTGTGATGGTTTCTTCATGAAGGATTCCCTGAATCTCCTTAGATAACTGCTCAAAAGGTTGAGCTACATCTTAGGCATGAACACAAGTCTGTTCATCTGGAACTTACTCCACACAATGAATTTGAATGATGTCCCTTTTTTCTTTCTAGCCATGCAGCTAACTGACTTTAAACTAGAGGTGTACACATGTGAGTGATTTTTGACTCACAATCACAAGAGAAAAACCATGTTGTTGCTCACTTTTGTGCAAACACTTGATTCAATATCATTTAAGAATCATGGTCATGATCATTGCGACTGTGAATTGAACTCCGAAAATTCCCATGTGATGGTCGGTATGTGCACATTTTAGGTGATCCTGTTTCTTTTCTGATGCTAAACCCTGCAATTGCTGAATTGAGGAAATCAACTCATAGATGAGGAATTAGAGGGAGATTAAATAATTTTTTTGGTTTCTACAAAGTGTTAGGAAAAACTCATGATCACAAGTGATTGCATTTTGTTCTTGTAGTGATCATGATAAGTGCCTTCAGAGAACCCTCAGCACAAGTAATGAGTCATGCATGAAACGGTACTCACACACGCCTCTACTTACAAGTAACAACGCTGGTGTAGATAAACTATGGGTGGAGTTTCCAGATTTAATTGAATCTGGTTTTCTTAACCATTAGCCTATGACCTGATAGTGCTACTCCAACTTCATTACTATGCACAGCTGCAGAAAGACTAAGGGGGAATGGAACTGAAGGATTCAAAGTCTGCTTCTACCCCTTATATCGTGAGAAATCATAGCATATTCTGTGTAAAATCTGCTGTCTGTGACCTCAGGCACTTGAGGATCTTATTTCAACTTCCATTCCCTTCCTCGCCTTCTTCAAATTGTTCAATTCTTCAAAAAATCTTTTCAGTCTTTGAAATTTTCATTATCTCACAAGAGTAAGCTCTATTCGAGTATTCCAGGTTCTAGTACAATAAAGTCATGATCGTGCTTCACAGCACATATATGAGATGGCAGCTGAGAATTGGGTTATTCTAATTCACTAAATCGAGCCTTGACCCTCTCGATGACATGCAAAATAGGGCCTCGGGATTCATGTTGAATTCCCGTTCTCAGTGAATAGGGAAGCAGGCATCATGGTTGAGACTCCAATTGTATTCAGGAAATGGAAAGATTATACCACTGTTGCACCACAACTGGAAGGACCTAAAATATTGATTTACCTCCATGCTTTGACTTGAAAATCTCATTTATTACCATTATCCTGTCATTGCATTTTCCATTCCCCCACCTACTGCATGAATGTATTTTATATAATTTTTCACCCATCCCTTCCCATCATATCTCCCTGGAAAAGGCATCTTTGTTCATGCAAACCTTGTTCTCAGGTTGGCAAAGGTTTTCCCAGTGGTGTAGTGAGGGGGAGTAGGCAGGGGCTTCAGTTTTTCCAAGTTTGTTTCAAGAGCCCAAACTCTGGTCTTAATGCATTCGTCCCCCCCCCCTTTCGCCCCAAGGCAGTGGTTCCCAAACTTTTTTGGTCACTACTCAAAATTCAACATCCAAACCCTGGGTTGCGACCCTGGGTTTGGGAACCTCTGCCCTAAGGAGAAGTAAGGGAAAGTCTAGCCCTCCTCTGTTCCCCTTTGCCCCCCTTTGGCAAAATTCTGGCTATGCCTTTGGGTTTTCCTAGCCTGGATTCAAGTATTTATAAGTATATGGCTATAAAATTGCTTCCTACAATGAAAATTAGGTCAATTGCATACCAACTGGTCATTGCATTTTTTTGTATGTATTACTTCATCTGAATAAAAAGGAATTTTCTATTATTGAACATGCTATTATGTAAATTGACACCAATCATTCCAAGTAATCAATGTAAATCCTACCTTTCATCAAGAAGAAAGGAAAAACTGCAGTGCCAGGCTGTCTGCTCACTGACAAGTTACATGTCACAAGTGCTCATGATGTAGGGTTTCTTCAGTGCAGCCAATAGATTTTCTGGTTGGACAGTAGGGTGGTCCAAAGAAGCTTTTTTTTTTTTTCAACTTTGATTTTTTTTTTTTAGTATTAACCCCTCATCTTTTGTACACTTCGAAATATAAACTCATGTGCAAAAATTCAGCTCAATTGGAGCATGTTAAAAAGTAGCTCAATGGATGTTAAGTTTTTTTCCATATAGCCCTGGTGGCATGGCCTGCATCCAGGTCCCTCTCATGCTATGTGAGTATTGGCATCTCATGGGGTGGGGAGGGGGGAGGTGTCAGTTGCCAAATGTCCATTAAGGCCCAGTTCCTCCTTGCTTCTGATCCAATGTTGATTTTTTGCTTGTTCTGAAATCTTTCTGATGCTGCTCAACAACTTGGAGGAGGAGGCCCATATGCAAGAACTTATCACTTGATAGCTTATTACATGGTAGCTATCATAATAGATATCAGGTGATAGGGCTATAATTTGCCAGGTTCTGTATGCAAGAATGATTTATAGGTATCCATCAAGAGGCCCATTTTGATAGGTATCTTCATACTTATTATGATAGGTATAAAATACCTGTCATAATAGGTGTTTGTGAATCTTCCTGAGGACAGTCTCCTATCCGTTGTCTTGTACCCCAGAACAATGCCAAGTGTATCTGCTCACATTAGGACTGATCAAAGTGTTGTGTGATGATTTAATGGTATTAATCTGACCCCATTAACCATACTAGTGCTTGAATTCCAATTGCATGGCTTGATACAAAGAACTCCAAGAGATTTAATCTATCCCAGAGTACCTACGCTTGACACAAGTTGCAATGCTTCATATAATTTCTTGGGTTAGCAAGATGTACTGCATCCACCCTAGTAGCTTGTTATAAGCAGAATTTGCAAGCTCTGAATCATAATAGGTTTAAGCTATATTTATACCTATATAATTATCATGTGATAATGATATATGATAATCATATCATATGATAATCGCATGAAAATAGCTATTCTATCAGTTTTATACATTCTTGCATACCAGCCATTGTTTCTGTTCTTTATCCTTGGTGATGATTTGGTTGTATTAAAAAATTATCTTCACTGCCCTTTCGGTACAATCATTGATAACCTTCAAACTGTTTATGTAAATGGAATTCTTGTACCTTTAAATGTCATTCCATATAGAAGGAAGTTCAAGTAAAAACTTTTGATTAATATTGAGTGCTGTGAGTAAGGACCTAGAGATTGGAGGCAGGAAATCTTTCCTTAGCTTAGTTTTTGGATCATCATCAGTCCTTTTCCTTTTCAAGCTTCATATTTTTTATTCTTTCTTTTCTTTCAACATATTGGATACCATATCTTTCTCTGCATCTGTCACTTCATTTGAAAATGAGCTTGATGCTACTAATGGTTCACTCAGATACCACAAGTGATGCTTCATGGTTTTCATGGCAACTTCTGTAACCTTCTTATTCTCTGATTTGTATTTTTCAATAGTCTTCAGCATGTTGAGATCATTTATTGGGGCTGATGCAGGCTCTGAACATGAAAACTAGGCTTTCATGTAAATTAATGTGCTAAACTGGTTGACATCCAGTATTGTCTACTCTTTGCAAGATGTGAGTTTGAATTGGTCTTTGAATAGAAGATTTTCAAGCAATGGATCACTTAGACATCATCCATTGTGCATGATGGAATGCTCCAGGAGCAAGAAATTTCACTTTGCTAGGAGTTTCTCTGAGAAAGGTCAATGTGAGCTCAAGAAATTCCCTGTAGTAATCATGGAGTTGTCTTCCTTTGCACTTCAGGATTATTCTGGCATGTTCCAGGCTTGAGCTCTCAATTCATTTTCAAAATAAGTTTTTGTCATTTATTGGAACTTTGAATGATCCCTTGACCATGGAATTCCATTTCTTCTGGAATCCTTTTAAGATTGACACGTCTGGTCCACTTGTGGCTCCAAAGCAAGTATTGAAAATGTCTCCAATGATGACTGCATGAATATGATGTCGACATACTAGCTGAAGAAGATTTTACCCCACCATTGCCTCTCTGGTTCCATTGGGCAACTTTAGAACATCAAGAAGTTTCTCAGTTCCTAACCTTATAACTAATATGGGGAGACGATCAACATCCTCTCAAGTCACCAAATCTGTCACAGGGTTCACACTAGCATTTTTAAATTGTGAGTCATCGCACCTAGCTTCAGTTCAGTGGGAACATGTTCAGGTGGTTGTCAATGAGTCCCACAGACTTGGATGTTTTGCAAAATGAGTCTGGGACTCACTATAACGAATTAATGTGAACCCTGTGTCATCAGCTTTGCATCCCAATGCATAACAAGAGGATGATTTGCTCACTTGTTCAGCTGTCTCTTTCCTGTTTTGAATCCTTGTCCTTCACACAGTGCTTCTTGATATAATAATTGTGTCCTAGTTCTTGTGCAGTAGCAGCAATAGCAAAGGTGGTTTCATGATCTGATACTTTGACTCAGTCCAAAGTTGCAGTTAATTGTGGTGATAGAATCTTGCTTTTTTTCTTGAAGCTCTTCCCTTTTTGTATGTCTGAATCTTTTCTGCCTTGTTTTTGAACCATGAAATCTTTATCATTGAGTGAAAAAGTAGAATCAGTTTTAGTAGTGAGTTCAGCTGATTCAGGTTTTGATGTTTATCTTCACATGTCATGTGTTCATGGGCTTCCCTCTTCAATTGTTTTTCTTCTTTCTGTGCAAGTTGATGATTACTGAACTCGTGTGTCCTTACCTTCCATCTCTTTGTTGCTTCAAAAATTCTTTGTCCTCATTAATTTTTATCATTTTCATAGCATCTTCATGAGCAATATCAAACAGTGACTTCATTTCTGTCATGAAATCATTTTCATTTTTTATCTGCTTTTCTGTATTTTATTTGCCTATTCTCTTTCAACTTTTGGTATTTTTCAACAAGGTTTTCTGATCTCTTGAACAGTTTCTGTTGCACTCTCATGAATGGTTTTTGATTGATGGAGGTGGAAGAATAGTTTAAGTGCTTGTAACTTAGGTAATTTAGCTCCAGGAATCTCACTCAAAGGCTGTTCAAGGAGCCATATTTCAGAGATGCAGGAATTTTAAGAAATTTTAGTCACCAATATATTGGGCCACTATGTAACAATGTGCCTTGCAACAGTTTCACTCTTTCTAGGAAAAGAAGTGCATTAATTTAGGGGAGACTACTTAAGAGATGAGACTACTTAAAGAATAACATCACCCTGGTGTCCCAGAAAAAAAATTTTGCTGACTTTTTGATATGTTAAGGCAGCAGCAATCACTCAGAGTCATTATGATTGCATTCTCAGAGTCAAGCCAATGCTCAGTCTTCAAAATCTGTTGGAAGTGGGATTTCCTCTCTTGGATCATTTGATGGGTTGGCATCTGCTATACCAACAGTCAGTGACCAGCGACAGCAATTGCTTCAGAAAGAAAAGGAACTTTTGGAATTGCAACAGAAGAAACTTCAGCTGGAACTCCTTCAGACACAAGCCAAATTGGAAGCACAGGTCTGTCTGAATGAGCAACAAGTAAATTGTGAACAGCCATCATCTTTACTTCCTTGCTTTTGCTAATAAAACTTTTTTCTTTGGTGTCCCAATTCCATAGGTTAAGAATGTTTCTCGTCCAAGCCCTATGGTGATTCATCAGATGGATGCTGAGTATCAAAGCCTTCAGAGAGAAATAGCAAAATCAGAGTCAGCCGTGAAGCAGCTGAAACAAGACATCTCCAACAATCAGCAAGTTGGCAAAGTGTGTAAAGCTTTTAAACTTTCTCTTACTCAGCTTATTTTTGCCTCATTTATTCAAACTCAAGGGCAAAATTGGCAACATCAGATTTTTTTTCCCATACCACCAGAAGTAATAAAAATGGAATTCTCCCTTGCATCTCATTTCCATATGTGGGGCAGGCAGCTGTCATTCTCCAGGTGTATACATATGCATTCTCTTGGCAATGAGAAGGATATACCTTGATGTCTTGGCATGTGAATGACTTGCATGCTAAATGTGCTATTTTCTGAGCCAGTTCAGTAAATGGTTTTCCTTTTTGCAAGAGTGGGTTTATATGTGCATAGTCACATGCATCTAGAGAATGGAGGTTGGGGAGCTCTCTGTTGACCCATATACATGGAACCAGAACATGAAAGGCTATAGAATTGTAAGAAATGTTATTAACCTTCCTATGCTTCTTAAGGACATGGCTTCTTATAAATCTGATCTTTCTATGTCTTGTGAGTAGGTTTCAGAGCAAGCTAAGCTATTTTGCTGGAAAGGCCATTTGAGGAAAGTTGTTTGGTCATATTTTCAGTGAGCCTTCATTTTAAAATCATATTCCCTTCTTGCTTGGCCAGTAGAAGTGCAAGTTTTAAAGTTTTAATTCCTTGGAATGTGTGATATCTAGTTTGGTGTTCAAATAAGACTCTCTCTTGGAACATTGCATGCCCTGTCTTTTAAAATATGTTTTGATGCCTTGTGTTTTTTTACATAATGGGTTACAATATAAGGTCATAACTTGGTTTTTTTTTTTTAGGTCAGCGGTTTTCAAACTGAAGGGTAAAAGATGGTGGCAGGGGGTGTACAGAGACTCAGGCATATCATTTTTATTCAAGACAGGTTACAGAGATGGAGGTCCTGTTTAAAATACCAGGAAACAGCTGGGAAGTGAAGTTCATGCTGGTTTCCAGCTGGGATTTCCCATTTGGTCTGAAAATGGTTCCATTAGCTTTCTGTTGGGAGTCCAGTTATAGAAGCTGTTGGATTGCATTGCTTTGGAATCGGTCTGATTCAAAGTGAAGGATCCTGGGTAGTTCTGAACTTTTTTCAGATTCTTTGGATAACTTGAGGATGTAACTGCATCAATACTCTGAAGAGAGGGTCTAGGCGAATGTTCTGTCAGTTTTTTTAGGGTTGATTATTTCTGTTTCCCATATGCAAACTAAGCTGCACACACTTGTCAAAACCGGTTTTATGTTTGGGTAAGGGTTATAGAGTACGTTTGACATGAATTTAGTTTAACCATTCAGTCCAAAATGAACTACTGTGCATTTAACATGTCTGTGGATAAAGTGCATTTTAGACACTGTGTGCTTTATGAGTTCCAAAAATGAAACAATACAACGACCTCAAGTAAAAATTTATGTGAAGTGGTTGGGGAGGATGCTATTACTAATCGCACATGTCAAAGATGGTTTACCAGATTTCGTTCTGGTAACTTCAGTTTGGAGGATGAACCACGGTCTGGATGCTCCTTCGATGTCAATGATGATAAACTGCGGGCCTTCATCAAAGCAGATCCTCGCCAAACATCAACAGAAATTGGCGAGAATCTTGGAATTTACCAGACAAATGTCCTAAAGCACATTCATCAGCTTGGTTATTTTCTCAAGAGCATCACTTGGGCACCACATGATTTGTCTGAAAAAAACCTGCTTGATAGGGTCACCATATGTGTTATGCGTTTCACCCGTCAGCTTGGAGAGCCTTTTTTGGATCAATTGATTACTGGTGACAAAAAGTGGGTTCTGTACAACAACATGCAATGAAAAAGACAATATTGTGCAGCAGGACAATCTCCTATTCCTACTCCAAAGCCAAAGCTCCACCAAAGCAAGGTTATGCTCTGTTACTGGTGGGATTGTAAGGGAGTTGTCTACTCTGAACTTCTGAGATCCAACGAAACTGTTAATGTTGACCATTACTGCTAACAACTTGAAAATCTCAACTTAACTATTGCTATGAAGTGTCCATCTTTGGTTAACAGAAGGGGTGTCGTATTCCGCTAAGACAATGCGTGCCCACATGGCGATGAAGACTCAACAAAAATTAAAGGAACTCAATTGGTAAATTCTTGCTCATTCAGCATATTCCCCAGACCTCACACTGTCGGACTACCATTTATTCTGATCACTGCAGAACCATCTCAATGGAAAAAACTTAGCCTCTTTTGGAGCTGTCGAAATGGCCATTGAGAACTTCTTTGCATCCAAACCGGAATAATTTTATGTGGATGGAATTGAAAAGTTGCTGAACAGATGGAAGATAGTCATAACTAATAATGGAAATTACATTAAAGATTAAAGCAGTTAATAAACTAAGAAAGAAATCATCAGATAGTTTCACTTCAAAAACTGACAGAACTTTCACTTAGACCCAATAGTTTAGTAGGCAGTGTAGCAGGGAAATGGCTAGTGGACTTCAAGGGATCAGTTGAACAGTTATATGGCTAGCAATAGTAATAACTTTAAGTATGTGGTATGTATGCTCCATTTTGCGCATTTCAATAGCACAATGAGTATTTGTCCAAATATGTATACTAGGCACTTTATAAAAAAGGTCCATCGAAAAGATGGGGGAAAAGTTCCCAAGAACCTTGGCCTAGTAGGCCTTCAAGGGAATGGTAGTGTAGTACCTGAAGGAAAAAATAAATATAAGAGGAGAAAATAAGAAAACAGGAGTGAGAGAGAGAAAGGGAGGGGGAGGGGGGTTGGGGGAAGGAAATCAGGAAATGGATAGAGGGGTTGATGCCATCAAGAGAGTCAGGTACCATGACAAAATTTTTGACAATTTTAAAAAGAATGGTGAGATTCCTGAGAGGGGTGAGAATGATGGAGACCCTGCACTCTGATATTGTTGACAGAGTGATTTTGAAGGCGGAAATGAGATGGAACTGGCTCTAAAAATTTGATACAAATGCCCCAAAGGTGCTCCACAAAACAATCCCCCCAGCGATGTCCAGTTTCACCTATGTAAAATTTGGAAGGGCAGATGGTGCAGGAGATAAGATAGATAACATCTTTGGTGCAGCATGTGAAATTTTGCAAGGTTTTGAAGTGTCCCTTTTGGCCTTTGATGGAGAGAGAGGAAGAAATGAAGGGACAGGTGAAACAACATGGGCAACCACAAGAGAAGGTCCCAGCTGTGCATGGGGAGCTGAGTTTGGGGTGGGAAATTAGGTTCATGAAATATCTGTCACATCAGAAAGCAACAAGAGGGGGAGTTGAGAAGATGGTGGCAGTGTCGGGTCCAGACATGAGAATGGGAAAATTTGACTTGATAATGTTGGTGACACTGTGAATAAGAGGGTGAAAAGTTGTCACAAAAGGAATGCAGGATGAATTTGAAGGTTCACTGAGTGGGATGAGAGTGGAAGATTGGTTGGAAGAGATGAAGGAAGTGGGTGAAGCAATAGTGCAGGAATGACTGACTGTTCAGGGCCAGGGTTGTGAATCAGTTCAGGAGGGAGAAACCACATCAAAAAAATAAATTAGAAAGGTGAGTGGCCCTTGAAAGAAAAATCTCAGGAGAAGAGCAAATACATTTCAGGAGAAGAAATTGACAGTAAGGGATGGAGGACTTGCATTTTTAGAGGTGAGAGGAAGCAAATGATAAGAATGAGAATCAGTGAGTTTCCAGAAGGTGTTGGTAGAGACCCCTTCATGAAGGGGAGATACTGAGATAATGAGATCAAGAAAGGAGACTGACTGATTACTGACATCAGAGGTAAAGTGCAGACAGGTGCATCAAAGAGACAGCCCAAATATAGAGGAAGATGTCCTGCGTTGAGGTAGAGGAAATGCCAATGATATCGATATAGCATCAGAAGGGGAAGGTGTCCTTAGTAGGAATTCAGAAGGAGCTCATGATACCCAACAAATGCATATGATGGACCCATTTCACTGCCCATGGCAACACCACCTGTTAGGATAAAGTTGGAGCCATTGAAGGAAAAAAAGAGTTCAAAGTGACTAAAAGTTCTGCCAAACAAAGAAGAGTGGACATAGTGGGGTCCAGACATTGATGTCAATTGAGAAAGAATTTGAGGGCAAGAAGGCCATCACTATGTGAAATGACAGTATAGACTGAGGCAATGTCCATGGTGAACAAAACAATAGGTCCAGACGGTTGCAACTGGAAAACCTATTGGAAACTTTTTCCCTCGTCTTTTCAATGGACTTTTTTTATGAAGTGCTGAATATACATCTTATGAGTCTATGACCACTCCCATCTCTATCATACTTGTGCAAATAGGCATTTTCCATTGATTTTTAGAAATGGGAGAAGATTGAAAGACACTTCCTCTTGTTCTTATACTGGATGCCGTAAAACCTGTTGCTAAAGCCAGAAGTATGCAATTGACCTCAATGGTCTTGCATCAATCTGAATCATCAAAATGCATACATTCTATGAACTATTGAATGCAACCACAGCATAATAGGCAAAAGAGGCAGGAGAGGAAATTATTATGAGACCAATTCAGAATTTTTCAGATGCATAGAATTTCCAATTTTAATCTCACTCAAAAATATTAGCTAGAAATTTTCTGCTGAACACAGCTGTATATGGCTGGTTATGTTAGTTGTTTCCATCTGGAAAATCCTACTGTGATCTTAAGTTGAGATCCTGCAATTGGAATAGGACTGAATTAATAGCTGTATTTCAGTTGCTACCACAACTAGACCGCATCAGAGAAAAACAAACAAAACCATCCTTGATCCAACTGGAAAATTGCATATGGAAACTAGCCCTGGTGAGGTTTCATTTTCCAGTCATTTGTAGACTGAAATGAGTCTGAATTTACAGCTGTGGTTAAGCTGGACTCATAACTGGGATGTTAAATTGAAGTGAAGATACAAAGAACAAGTACAGCCCCAAAGAAAAAGAGAAAATGCTTGCAAGCAAATTCCCCCTTACCTGTTAGAGCAGTGGGGTGTGAAGTGGTCAGTTCTTGAAGGGAGACTTGATCCCACGAATTTTAGACTGTTTGCCCACAGTTCTGCTTTTGAAGTAATTTTCTAAATGACCATTGTCAGTATATTTAACATTCTCTACATATCCTTCTTAGAGTTTAGATTGACTCCTGGCCACCAATCAAGAAGCTAGAATTGAGAATAATATTTAAATAAGTCTGTGATGATTTTGATTGAAGTTTAGAAGACATCTCAAAAGAGCACCCATGCTAAGCTCATGTTTGATGTGGGAAGGAATTCCATCCTGGATTTAGTGGTGATGGGCCATTTCTAAGGACAACTTATGTTGATTAAGTCAATTAGTCATCCAGGAATTTTGCAGAGTTCAAGCTTTCAGGAAGCTGTCCATACTCACCAGCTCACTTGGACCATTTGGTGTCATCCAGCCCAAGATGCCTGCAATTCATGACAATTTTAAAATAGTCATATTTCCAGACTATTGAGGTTCTGCAAATTTTCCATCATGCAGGTGATGGTTTTTCCCAAAGTACATCCTCCAGACTGAAAGCCTCTTTTGTCAGACTGGAACTGTGCTAGCAATCTCTGATCAATTTGGTGATTGTCTTGGTGGACTTATGAGGCTTTGTACTGGAATACAAGGGTAAAGCATGGGGATGAAGTGAATGCTGATCTCTGCCAAGTGTAGATATGGGCAAACTCCAAAATGGGGCAGGATGGTATTCCTATCTACTTTCTCATTCTTATCAACTAGGTGTATCCTAGGAGCAATTGGTTCACCTTGCACTCCAAGTAGATTGCCTTCTCCAAATCTCTCTTCCATTTCCCACATGCAAGTTATTCTCATCTGTGAAGGTGACTTGTTCCCATTGGTGGTTATGTTTAGTGCAAGTATTATCTGCAGACATGCAATCACTTGACTAAATGTAGCAGCTTTCCAGATTCTTCTTGTTCTAGCTCTCCTCTCATGGAGGTTGTGTTCTCATTGCATGAAAGGTGGAGGGCAAAGACATTTAAATAACATTTTTCCCAATTAAGCTCCACCTTAGTTATCTTGATTTAGCCAACCCTCTCATATTTTCAATGGTTAAACAGCACATTGGCACTTACCGCTGTCTTTCACTGCACTTCGGTTTTGGACTTGACCGTACTGAATGAAAAAAAAATTGGAATGCACATATATATCCTTGTCAAAATGCTGCTGAAGGTAACTGCATTCCTGAATTGTGAAAAAAAAAGAGGAAGTTTGGCTTCTTAAATCTTTTACCAAGGTTTCATTTCATTATATTCAGAGAGATGCACTGCAATGCCACACAGGCTGCTCTTGTGTAGTTATGCATTTTGAAAACAAGGTTCACCTATGGCTTTCTGCCAGGTATGGCATTTGAGCTGGACAATTATACCCGATTGTTCTCCCTTTTACTAACTCAGAGTTCTCATTAACTCGCTGTAGCGAATCCCTGGCTCATATTTTCTTGGAGGGACTCATTGTGAAACATCTAAGTCTGTGGGACTCATTGACAACCACCTGAACATGTTCCCACTGAGCTGAAGCAAGGTGCCAGGGCTCAAGATTTAAAAAAGCTAGTGTGAACCCTGCTAACTGGTAGTGGACGTTCAGGTAAGGGGACTGAAAGTCAATTTGAACTTCCATGCAGGGTCATGCAGTTGTATATAATTTTTTAATATGGAAAATCCATAGTGTAGCCATGCTGCTTCATTTTTTACTGAAAAAAGTGAAGGAGAGATTGGATAGCCCTCAGGAGTGAAGAAAAGAGTATACAATGGTGTTAGCACCCTGCTACCCCAGTGCTGCAGCTAAGTTATTCCCATTCAACATTCCACAGTCAGATTCTTGCCCATATCAAGACATTTGATGGCAGACCAGCTGAAAGCCCATTTTTTGAGTCATGCCAGATAGCAGTTAGGAAGAACGATGAAGAGGTTTAATGACCTTTTTTTTTTAAAAGGAGGAATGGGAGTATTAAGCTAGCAGTTTGTCTTTTCAGTAGTTTGTCCTTGACACCAATATGCCCATCAATCTCAATGAAAAGACTTGTAATGTAAGCTGTTGGGTACCCACTTCATTAGCCAGACCAAACACGTGCATGAGGAAATTAGGCTTCCACAGAATGACCAGAATGAGAAATATTTTTATCCCTTCTGTCACCAGTACAACTAATCAAATGGATGGTGAAGACCCCTACCTATACCAATGGCAATTATTCCAGCTGGAAAACCTGTTTATTATGAAGTTGTTTTATATGTTGTTCATTTACACTGTATGTTATGCTGTCCAGTTTTATATTGTGATAATATTTTTTAGTCTGCTAGGTCGCCTATTTCTATGTCATGTTGCTATTGGTCACTTTAGCTTCAAAGCCTTAAAAACTAATTTAAAAAAACTAAAGATGCTAGGTGACCAATTTATAAGACACACTCTGGATAATAGAACTCCTTAGTGTTCATCATCCAGAATGTACAGAATTCACCTTTATGTAAGTTAAAAGTCAGAAGTATGGAGGGTGAGCACTTGAATGAAACTGCTGTACACTGAACACTATTGAGGAAATGGAGCTGCCTTTTTTGATTGGGTGTTAAGAGGATGGGACTCCCTTGGGATGAAGATACTAGCAGATCTTGCTATGGATTTGTTCTTTGCATACAATATGAGGTGTCGCCGTGGTTGCCCTCCTGTGGCAATGACTTGAGCAAAAATCCTTGCTGTCCTCGTGCTTTGTTTCACTATGCCATCTCTTCTGAAGCACATGTCTACTTGTGCATATAATAATAACAAATATAATAACATGACAGAAGGAAGGGTGCACCAGTTTTGGGTCTTACCTAAACACCACTTGTCAATCTAGCCCAGTTGAAGCCTTGGGAGCAGGGAGCTTGCTGCATGAGCAAAGGAGTATTTATTATAATATTTGTTATACTTAATTTTTTGAGTGAGAAACCATTCAATCCTTTTGTTGGTGGAGCAGTGGCTGACTCCCCGGTTGGTGTACCTCTGGGTGCTAGGCCTGACGAGCTACCACTCTTGCCAACAAAGCTATAGACTTTATTATAAGAAAGAGGTTGAAACTAATCCAAGTTCTGACTTCCTTTGATCTGCAGAAGGGACAAGATTTCTGCTTGGAGGTGTACTCTTTTCAAATATTACTCTGTGGTGAGTGTACTAGGAATACATAGAAGGGGTTTATGCCTCCATTGACATCACTGCAATGGATGTAGGTCCTGTTTTGGTAAATGGACATTTTGATTTGAAAAAATTTGATGTGCCCAAAGTTGATTGTCCAGCTGCTACTTGCAGTAAAGATATCTGTCAAGATTTGTTTTCTTGTGCAATCATGCATCTGTTGTGTTGAAGATTGGTGTACCCTTCAACTGAACCAAGTTTCCAATAAGAGAAATTGCTAATTAAGATTCACCCTCTTCATAAGAAGCTGGATAGGAAAAACTACTCCTGTAACTTATAGGACTGTCATCATGGCAGTTTTCAAAACATTGATGCATTGACCTAAACTATCAATAGTGTATTGATGCACCCTTGGGGTGGGGAGGGAAGTTTCCAGATGATTCAGTTTTTTCTCTCTGTGAATCAGGCAGAGGTTTGACTTCCATTGTTTCTTGCCATGATTGGGGCATGGACCTCTATCCATCCTCCTTAACCCTTTCCATGGCAAATTAATATGGGAGTGGTCAGAGATGCACTAAATTCAAGCCAAAACTTGCTTTTAACTGAGCCTCTTTGCTATATCTCAGACTGTATGACAGTTCATTCTTTCAATTGGACTTCTGTTTTCCCTCAAATCTTTGCTGCCCGTGGTGCTACAAGCTTTGAATGAATTTCAAATACTGTCTCCAAATGGAGACACTACTATGGAAAAAGTTTATCTCATACTAGTGATTAGGGAGTGCAGGGGGAAGGTGTGACCTTTGGAATGAGTAATAAAGCCTACCTTGCCTCCAACTATAAAAAATGACATCCATTCATTGTTGTATGCTTTGGGACAGCTCAAATTTCAGATTGCTATTAAGAATTTGCTATTGCCATTGGGAAACAAACAGTTGCCAAGCACCATTCACATAGTTTTTTTTTCTATTTTTCTTCATTCAACACAGTCTTCTTTGGACATTGGCTCTGGCAGATGGCAAACCTGCCAATGGCGATGGTGCCATACCGGTGGTTGCCTATACATCAGTACAGTCTTAGATTCAAGCAATGTCCACGTGAAAAATTCACTGAGTTCACCTTAAGTAAAGTCATAAAATGCCCCAAGCCAAGTTATAAATTCAAAAACATAAGCCTGCATACTAAAGAAAAAGACAGGAATATAGAGAGGAGGATGAACCAATGTATGTTTCAAAATCAAAGGAGCAAAAAGTTACAGTCCACTCTCACAGCATGCACCTGATGAGATCAAGCTGAAGACTGAAACAGAAGCAAAAAAAAAACCCTTCCCAGTCTTCCCTCCCTTCCTTTCCCACTTCCTGTATCCAATTCTGACTTGTTTTCTTTTTCTTCATGTCTTTCATGTAGTCAATACCAGCATTTCTAGGATTCAATGGTGGTAGGAAATTGCAAGCCCATTCAGAAAAATCATATATGATTTTATGAGAAATGGGCATATATGATCTATCATATATGATATTACATGAACATATATGGGAATATGTATATATATATATATATATATATATATCATATCATATATATATCTATCATATCATATCATATATAGATCATATATATATATATATATGATCTTATATTCTTATTGAAACAATGAGTATATGATTATATATGGCAAGGCCATATAATAATTTTTTTTAAAACCATGTATGTAAAAGATATGGAGGAGCAGGTAAGATGCTTGTATCACTTAGTATGTCTATCTAGTACATAGTGGGGCATATGTGTCACACCTGAGAGACATGACCAAGTCAGGTGTGAAACATACATGGAAACTTGTTACTCTCAAAAGTATCTCCAATATATAATTTAAAAAATTTGGAACTAAGCTGAGAATTGGAACTTCGCCTGTCACTTTTGTGAAAATACAAAAACCATTCACTTCCAACACATCACAAGTACATCCCAAAGATATCCCAGAAGTAACTACTAGGGGCTTCTCAGTGATATCAAAATATCTGGGTGCCTTTCTTTCTGGAACAGACTCATTTCCTGAAATACAGGACAACCCTTCATTTTTAAAGGGTTGTTCCATATGGTGTACTTCAACTGAAGATGTCTAAAAGACATCTCTAAGAAATCCTGAAGATATCCCTTTCAAGATGTCAGATACCATCAAACTGAAGATGTCCTTAAAATATCCCATAAAGACCTTGGGACATCCTTGGGGTGTCACCATGCTATGAGGGTATGACCATGCCATACAAATTGTATACTATACCTTATGCATATGGGATATATATTTCTAGCAATATACAGGGTGGCACATAATAATGTTTCACATTTCATAGAACTATATTTCATTATTTATGTTAAGGTAGAAAATTAAATTACATGTCATCTGATAGGCAAAGTCAATAAGTTTTTTATGTTGAAAAGCATGTTTGAAGTCTTCGATGTTCCTTAGGATAATCTGCCTGCTACGTACGTACATCATTGTTTTCAATAAACTTGTTTAATGTCTCTTGTGTTATACCTCTGAACCCTGTTACCACAGGGTTAACCACAGAAGGTTTGAGTTCATCAATTGTGTGTTGATTTTGTCGAGAACACCATTTCTTTAAGGAAATCCCATTCTAAAAAAATGTGGCAGTCTGGAGATGATGCTAGCCACAGGATGCCCCTCCTCATACTGGTAATGCTTTCTCTTCAAAAATATCCACAATATTCTTAATCATTGGATTTGATGTTTTATCAGGAAACCATCATCTACATTCTCCCTTCATAGTAACAGGTGAATGCATTTCAATAAATGTATGCATAATGAACACCATAAGCTTGTTTTTTTTTCCTGATAAAATGCCTCCATCAAATCCTTCAATTAAGAAAATCATTAATAAGTCTGAAGGGAAAGCATTAGGAGTATGAGAAGCAACATCTCTTGGCCAATAACATCTCCTGATCTTAGACTGCATTTTCTTTAAATGGAGTTTCCTCCAGGAAAAAGTGCTATCCACACACCATTGATGAACTCAAACATTCTGTGGTGTGTGGTTATAGCACTCAGAGGCATAACACAAGAATCACTGAGCAAGATTATTTAAAACACTCCCAGACATTACAGACAGATTATCCTAAGGAATGGTGAACACTGAAAATGTCTTTCACCGTAAAAGAAAAAATTTGGGGTTTGCCAGTCAGATGATGTGTAATTCAAATTTCTACCTTAATAAATAATGAAAATACAGGTTAATGAAATGTGAAATGTTTTTGTGCACCACCCTGTATTTTGTTTTGAAAGCATGCATGCTGAACATGTATATACAATAAATAAATAAATAGTCCTTCATTAAACCCATATGCTTAAACCAGATATATCATATTTGCAGAAGCTTATCCCTCAAACCACAGAATTATTATATATATAGAATATATATGCTCCCCAGGTATGTTTAATATATAAGTAAACCTTATATGCCCTTATACTAGTATATGTATGTTCATCTTTCAATGCATGAAATATAAATGAATCTATAAGGCACTGATAATTGCATATAACTACCATATATAATCTTTCTGTATGGGGCAGATCACACCACCTCTTCCTTTCCCTCCCTGGACAGACTGCATTGTACTGTACTCCTCTCAATCCAATGGTCATTTCCCCTTCAAAAGATTTGTTGATACATTGTGATGGTCAAAGAAGCTGTTGATACTTCCAACCATTGTTAGTGGTGTCGATGCATCGATCTATCATGACAGCCCTAGTAATTTATAGCAAATGGAAAGTATGTAGAAATGTTCCCTTAACTGCAGGTGCATACATTGACATTTTTAAGCATGCGGTTTTCCATGTTTGAAAAGTCTTTTCCAATTAACCATAAAAATGATTCTGGCAGATTGGGAAATTCAAATTGTAAGTAAGCTTTCTCTACAAATTTTCCATCATGTTGCTCAGAAGCTTTTCAGGTATTTCATTCCTAGCTGAGGAAAACCTCAGTCACTTCATATGCATGGGAATGACTTTATTTTCCCAGTACATATTATTCTCGAGATAGCTAACAGAAACAGTCAGCAATATCCTTAGACAATGAACCTTTCTTATGGTGGTTGGAATGACAGAAAAAGAGAGAGATATGCATGCAGAAGCCCTTATCTTCGATTCCAGAATCACTTCTCTTTGCATTTGAGTCTGGTACTATCTGGTTCTAATTTCTTATCTCTGGTCTTTTTGATCATTTCTGCTTCCAGGATTCAAAATATATATGAACCTTTTAAAAGAAAACTTGTTTGTCAAACTTTCCTCCAAGGTGTCCCACACCTGTGAGAGCATGTTGAGAATGCAGAACTCCTTAGGTGTTGAAAATTGTGAATGTTAGATCATTAAGGTTTTCTGGGAAGGTGTCCATAGTCCAGGCATAAATACTAGAGCTCTCTGCTCCATCAAGACCTTTAATTAGTCTGATCTAGCAACTTTCAATCTTTAATATTTTCACTTGACATTGCAGAAATCCATGCTATTATCTTGTCTTTCTGTTTATTCCATGCAATAAATAACTAAATATCTGATAATGATTCAGTCGACAATGTTAATCTCTCAAGTGTGCAATTTCTCAGACAGAAATCCACCCCAAGTGGGGACTTTCTTTGTGAGAGCTTTATTTTGCATTTGTGTATTTAGAAATTTACTACTGCTACTAATTTGAAAAAGAGTAGTAAATTTCGATACTAGTAATAAATATACAAGTGGTAACTTTCTATTTGAGTAGCAAATTTTTTTCTCACCCTCAAATTTCAGGTTTTGAGTTCATTATTTAACTTGAACTCAAATAATTGCATGACATACATACATGGAAGGCCAAAAAAAAGAGAGATAGTTTTCAACAATACGCCATACTGCACTCACTGCATGTATTTTAATTTGGTTTGCTGCATTTGAAAGAGGAATGAATTTGCTTTAAAATGGTTTCCTTACATTTAAAATATCTTCAACAATTAAAGAAATATGGTAACTCATGTAAACACTAAGCAAAAATTAAATTCCCACAGGACAGGACAGGAATGAACAGGCAGCAGCTGAAGGTCACATGCTGTCTTCATTTGGATAATTAATTTGTTTTTTTTTTGCTTTTTTTTTTGCCAAAGCAATCATATTAGCAATCATTGAAAAGAAATTAGACACTGAGAATGGACAAGAGTTCCTGCTCATCATGTAGTGGAGGAAACCTTTGAGCAATCGCCCTTCCTGGTCATCAAGATCACTTTGAACCCCTCTTCCACTCAAAATTCTTTCTTTGCAGATGCTTTTCATGAGCTTATTCCCAGTTAATGGTGTATCAATAAATTAGTTTGAATGAGTTTCAATTCAAAGATTTTCTCAATGTTTTTTAGAATTTCCCTTGGTTTATGTCTGCCTGAGTCTGCATGATATGGCAAAAAAGACCAGTAAATTCAAGTGTATGTAATGATATCTTAAGTCATATCTCACAAAAATTGCTGAGGATGTGGCATGTCTTCATTTATTTGAAAGTCAACAAGGCTGCCAAATCCATCAATTCAAATCAAAGTTAGGAGTGATATTCTATGACATGTCAAACATTTAAAATTGAACAATTCCTTCAAAAGTGAAGGGAAATTCTGAATGTACTTTTTGAAAACTCTTTGGTTCACTATTCATTTGCAATTCATTTGGAATAAGCTCATGAAAGCCATCTGCTTGAGACACCAGCCCAATTATTGAATTGAAGAGGAGTTTGATGATGTCTTGATGACCAGGAAAGACAGCGCTCAACAGCCTTCCTCCCCACTACCAGTAGGTGCTCTTGTCCATTCTCAGTGTCTAATTTCTTTTAAATAATTGCTGATGGTATTGTTTCAGCTCATTAAATTTGTATGGAATTTTGAGAACAAATGGAAGGTGATGAAGGTAAATATGACAATTTGACTGTTTTTGTAGCTTTAGTGGCTGTATTTTCTGAGAAAAATATATGTGTTACCATAATGAAAGGATTATTCTTGGTATTTTTATAAGTAAATATAGTCTTCTGATATTCATAATGGGTTTCTTATTGACAATTCTCAATGCCTTTCTTTTATGGAAAAAACTTATTTTCTAAAAATCCATTGTCCTTGGCATCTATTGTACCTGGACCAGGACTTATTCTGGCTTTGCTTTTCATTGAAGATTGTTACAAATCCTGTTGGGAGCTGCTTTCTTTATTCAGATCAAGACCTAATGCTACACCATCTCATTGGTTAGACTTGCTTGTTATAGTGGGCCTTCTGTGGACTCCTTGCAATATGGGTCAAAGTTGGTGCTGAAGTCATAAACAACTTTAAAAATTACACTTTAAGTTTTTATCTTTTATGCCATAGATCACAATGTCCATGAAATTCTGACTTTTCCTGCTCTTATTAGCAGTACTTTCCAAAGTGGAGACAAAGGGAGCATCAGTTGTGACATTTTTATCTTGAAGACTACAGGAAATGCTGAAAATGGCATCTGCAATGCAATTTTTTTGTTGTCTAAATCTAAGCTCACTATCATCATTTTGCTTCATATGAAAATCAGGAATTGAGTGTGGAAGACATGGATTTCTATATTTTCTCTCAGGCTTCAGGAAAGACACCAAACATACATGTGGATCCAAGGGCTCTTCGTGATCCTCGTCTTGTTGGGAAGATCAGCAAAGAACTATCACAGTCTTCCATACAAAGTACAGATTCCTCATCAATGACAGCTTCATCCACTACTGGAGCTCAAAGTGTGACCGCATCTGCACGTGATCCACGTCTTAAGAAAACTGACTCCATACAAGAAACTGAGAAAAAATATCCTGCTGAGAGGAAGAAGGAAGAGACCAAGAAACTTCTTCCCCACAATTCAGACAAAGAAACAAAACAAAAGTCTGATAGCTCCAAGTCAAAGGAGGAGGATCTGAAATCAAAAGAGAGTGATACTGGTATCAGTAAACAAAGATTGCCAGTTGCCTCACAGGTGAAAGTTGGAGAGGGTGCAAAACTGAAAGATAGTTCTGGGTTTAGGTCCAAGGATGAAAAGTTCAAGTTGGAGGATTATAAGAGGAAAGTAGGGGAGAAATCCTCTTTCCCCATATCTACATCCAGCCCAAGAAAGTGCAAGAATCATGAAGAAAAAGCAGAGGGGAAAAGGAGACAATCAATCAGTCCTATTTTGAAGAAGGTTCAGGAGACAAGAGATAGGAAATCAGCTGAACCCAAAGCCAAAGACATTGAGAAGGATCTAAATCTCAAGGATAAATACAAAGACAAGAAAAAAAAGAAAGAGAGGATAAAAGAAAAGATGGAGCCAGAGACAGAAAATATAGCCCCTCATCCTCCTTCACCTACTGTAGGAGAAACAGAAATCACACTGACTGCAAGTGAGTCATCATCAAGGGAAGAAGTGGACAAGAATGAGCTGCAAAAGTTTAGAATCCCAAAAATTGTCAAAGGCAAGAGCAAAGTTTCTTGTATACACCTCATTTTTTTGACTCACCTGTATCCTGATTGTACAGAAAACATGTTGCTTGCTCTCAGAAAAAGATGAGGTGAAGGAGAAAAACTTGGGAGAGAATGGAACTTGTGGAGATGATGAGAAAGATGAAAGTTCCTCAATATTAGCAAGAGATGAGGATCTTCGTGTTCTTTTTCCTCCGCCACCCCCACCACCAACCATCTCCAGCTCATATCCTCTACCAGATGAGAGTTGGTTTTCATTAATTGTTCTTAATTGAAATGTAAATGCTTTGCAGTGTGTAAGTCTTCAATTGTTTCCTTAGCTGGGTACGTAGGTCCTGCAGACATAGGGAGAGCAGTGCCTTCTGATCTGGGAGATGTGGATATGCGATCCATGTTGTCTTCTGAGGTCAGGAAGCGACATACTGATGTTCCTCAGGAGCCTCCTGTCAAACGCAGCAAGGAAGAGATTCTTGATGAGTGAGTCTTCCTTCCAAAAAGCTAGTGCATATAAAGCATATCCCTATGCGTCATAGATGTGTTTTGAAACACATAATAGTTTTGAGCATCTGCCATGCAGTAAATGGTGCCACCACTCCTTCAGTGCATTGCAGCATCACTGGTGCTGTCTAGGCTGCTCACTAACTACAAGCTGTATTTCAATGTTGCTTCAGCTGTTGTTGAGGGAAGTTGTATTGCCAAAGGGAAGGTAACCAAAAAAAATAAGTTTTCAAAAATTTAGTGGAAGCAGAAAGAGTGAACCTGAGTTTTTTTTAAATATTGTGCTATTGTGATTATCATAGGGCAACCCTTCAAGTTTTTTCTCAGGTGTTGGTTGATAACAGGATGACTTTTCTGTGGTGTGTTTGAAAACACCTCTGGAATGGAAGGCTGCCAAAGGCTGTTCAGAAGCTATGAAATGATGGTGATAATTCTTGAAGTTTCTCGTGACCATTTCAAGCTCAAGCATGTCTATAACTATTGAAATTGATTGTAGTTGAAAAATATGTATTTTCTGGTTGGTTAGGGGTCATGTATTTAAAATATATCATGACCTTCCTTAGGATAAAACCATCTAAGTTTGGACAGTACCTAAGTTCAGACACTGCTGCAAACATTGTTACAAAACTAAGCTTTTGCGAGGCTGCCTTCAGAAACAGTTCTTCCTAACATGAGATGAATACGTTACTGAGCAAAGGACGAGCAGTGGCCATGATGACTTTGCCTGGTTCCAAGATCTTGAGCTTAGGCCAATGCTATCTTACGAATGGAGTGAATTTTTCAAAAAACCATAAAGAGAGAACCTTACTTTTAAACCATTCCACACATGACATTGTTGCTTTCTGTGCTCATTTCTTACTTCCCAGGAAACTAGGGGGACATAGAGTCCTGTTACACAGAATGCATGTGCCTTGATCAGAATACTGCCTTACTTCCCATGTGTCCGAACTTGGATCAGGAAATGTTAGAGAAACTTAAGTTTGGACATACATTCTTATGTCATATCTATGAAAACATGATGTCCTCTTTGGATAAGGAATACTTAGAATTGATATATGCTCAGTTGAGTCATGCTTTTCAAAGAAAGGGTATTTTGGAGCCCTGTTTAAGCTTTCATGATGGGACATGTAACTTTGGACACCATCTGGCACATGCATAAAAATACAACTTCATATATTTCTTAGCACACCTAAGTGTGCGGCATGCCTTCAAAGCAATGCAATCGTGGTTGAAGGTTGGAGTGCAAGTGATCCTTGATTCGAGGCTGTTGAAAAGACAATCAGGGCTTTCAATTTTGGTGAGACATCTTTGTGGAAGGCCATTATTGCTTATGGTGAACACATCTGTTAGGAAAATGTGTCTTGAGGAGTTGTACCTCTGAATTTGGAGTAGGGATGTACCCCTGAAGTGGGATGTTTTCTAAATTAAGCATACTAAGAAATACTTGTCTACAGAATGTAACACACTGCCTGCCTGTTTTGCTTGGGAAAGAAAGTGAAAATATTACCTCAATGAGAAATGTGCACCCAATGGAATTAACCATAAAAGTAGGATTTTTCCAGAAATTAGTAAATGGAGTGCAACTTACACACCAAATTCCAGGTCTCTGTATTTGCTGCCACTACTCAATTCACTGTGGCAAAACAAAAATCTAAATATATAGCTCCTCCCTGCAAAAAAAAAAAAAAAGTTCCCCCAGAAGATATATAGCAAAAGTAGTATTTTCCTGAAGTCTGGATACCTATTTAGTAACATTTCAGCCTTCTGTCTCCATGATTCCCTGGAATGAAATCTTTTTTTTTTGGGAAAGGTATACCCCAAAAATATGCCCCCTGAGATGGCATCCTAAAAGAGGATTTTTTTTCCTGAAACCTGCATCTCCATACCAATGTACCAAGTATCAACTCTGTCTCTCCATTTAGTTGGAGCAAATAAATTATTGGAGATACACTTCTCCCAAAAAAGTACCTGAAATCCACATCATCAGAGCTATTTGTGTACCAAGTTTGATTTTTCTATATCATATATATGCACTAGTGGCCAAAATTGTGGAAACACTTGAGAAAAGGCAAATTATTTACATAAAAAAATATATTTATTATTTGGATTCCATTACAAAATCATTTCAATTGCAGTCACTGACAATGAAGTGGTAGTACGTCATAAGTGACACATTTTCATGGTAATCAAAATATATGAATTGGGCCTACAATGCAGTGTATATAAAATACAAATGTTAGTGTGGTTAGGAAGTACCTAACGACCTAAAGTATATAAATTGTTATAGCAAATATTCTCATACAATCACATTTTTAATAGTAGCAGACACTATACAATAAAATAGCATATGCTTTAATAGCCAACAAGTATACATTTAAACCATTATACTAGAGGCCAAAGTTGTGGATACGCTTGCGTGCAGTATTCCATGTATCTAAATTATGGTACTCCTGATTGGAGTTATCAGCTGGAGAATGATTATAATGTGTAGTTTGGTCACATAATTCAATCTGTTCAAAATATTCAGAGACTTTTGCAACAGGTAAATATTTAAAAAGAAATGTATTATTTGCAGTTAATATGTAATGGTTTAAATGCCTAAGTACATCATTTATTGAGCATAATTTAAATACCATAGTTTAATTAAATGAATAAGTTATTGTATTGAATAGTGTCTGCTACTATAAAAATGTGATTGTATGAGAATCTTGGATAAAACAATTTATATAGCCTTCTTTTCCCATACCACACTAATATTTGTATTTTATATACTCTGCATTGTAGGCCCAATTCATATATTTTGATTACCATGAAAATATGCCAGATGTGAAGTACTACCACTTCGTTGTCAGTGACTGCAATTGAAATGATTTTGTGATGGGATCCAAATAATAACTATATATATCTTATGCAGATCATTTGCCTTTTCTCAAGTGTTTCCACAATTTTGGCCACTAGTGTATATGGTAGAATTAAAGTCAGTTGCTTGCTCACTCACTCAATCGCAGTTGTCCTATTCTAGAAAATAAAGAAATGATCCAATTTTAAAGCTGGTTATCATTATTTTACACCACAGTGAAGTGTTGCAAGCCTCTTTGAGACGTTAAAAAGGGAGTGTTCGAACTAAGGTGAAAGTGTCCGAACTTGATTTTTTCTGCATTCTTGTTTGGACATCCACATTATAGGCAATATCAGAAGTCATAAGGCTAGGATGGGCAACATCTTTGTAGCACTCATACCTACTCGTGTCATGCTCCCAGGTGCATAAAATGAAGCTTCCAGCTTGCACAGTTGATATAGGATGAGCCAATTATAAGGCTTGGTCAGCTTAACCGTCTGAACATTGATGGTTTTATCCTACACCCAGTAGAATCTGTGTAGGATGGAATTCTGTATCATGCAATGAAAAGTAATTTTTGCTTCTGAGCATACATGGAGTGTTTTCATCTTGTTTTTTTCCCCTTCAGCCACAGAGGTATTTAGAAACACATGCCTGGTTCAACCAGTAGCAGGCAGCAAAAATCTGGGGGGAAAATTCAGGCATTCCTTGGCAACGTTTAGGACATGTGAAACCTAAAACTGCTAAAAAAGAAAATCCTTAAAAAAATAATTCTGTGATGCATAGGGATTTCCCCCTCCCACTCAAAAAAGTGTACAATGTCATATATTTTCTCATTGCTATCAGTGGGAATATGTGAGCTCCTTAGTCAGTTGGCTTGATTCTTTCTTCTTTTCGATCTAAATAGGTTTTAGAGGACATTCTTTGCCAAAAAAAAAAGCGAAGAATTTTGGGTGTATTTCAGCATAGACTTATGACTGTAATGGATGACTTCCTTTCAGGCTGTTTGGAAGTGAAGATGTTGACCTGCGTCCCATGCACCCAGCCCCATTGGGTGTTCACAATCGGAATCCCCATCGTTCTCCTTCTCCTGTTCTGCAGTATCATAGTCCTCCTCATCTGGATGATGATAGACCAATCTGGGGTGCCTGTGCCAAGATGAATCAAGTTGGTGGTTGGGCCCAATTCAAGGAAGATATTCCTGATAGATTTCGATCTCCTCGTGCTCCTCCTCGAGGTCCATGGATCAGAGATAACATTTCCATATCCCCTACTAGGATATCCCAACAACTTCCAGCTCCACAGGGCCAGTTTCGAGGACATGGTTTCCGAGGTTCTTTTCGAAGTACTCGTAGCCGTGTTGGCTGGGGTCATAGATCCTCTTTCAGGCTAAGGCTCCCTGTTGATCGTCTTGGGAGACCCCTCCGCTATCATCAGCTTCCAGGTAGTTTTTTAAAAAGTAAATGTCTCATTATATCTTGCCATGAAATATACTTTGGATTGTATTGAAGAAATAAGGGAAGTAGCCACTTGCATTATTCCTACATTAAATCAAATGGTTTTTCCCCCCTGCTTTACCCATGTTTCTCTTTAAATTGGAAATTGTTGAAACAGTTCAGCATGATCACTTATACTGAGTGTTGAAACACAATGTAAATTTGCATTCAGATCAGTCTCATTTTAAGCTATCCCAGACATTCTTCTATCATCCCTCTCAACTGGCTCATTCTAGTCTCAATATTCAAAATTTTATGTCTTGGTGATGAGATTTGTAATCCCATTTAAGTTTGACCTTCATTATTGCATATTGTGATTTGAAGAGCAGATTGCAGAGACATACTGTTGAAGCATGTTTCAATATTCATTGCTTTGCATGATGGACCACTCATCCCCTTCATATACTCTTTCATTAGATGATCCCTTGGAGAGGAAGAGAATGCTATCCCAGGGAAGAGATGGATATAGCTATGATTATCATCTTTGGAAGCATGGTCGACGACTGAGTACTTGTGATCCAGAGGAGATGCTTAAAGAAGCTAGTCAGCAGTTGAAGGAGGGCCTTATCTCCCAATCTGATTTCACAAACCTCCTTCAAAAGGTATGCACTGTCAAATGTTGTGCTATTAATTGGTGCTTTGCTATTGCCACTTTTTGTTATTCAATCAGGTGATACAAATGAAGAGACAAGAAGAGGATAGAGGTGGGGAGCAAAGGACCTGGGATGATCAGCGATGGTCTCCTGGAAGACGTTCTCCCATGCATTTCAGGAATTATCCTCCAACAGTTGGCCAGGGTTTGTTTCAGTCATCTCCATCCTTTCAGTGGCCTGCACACCCAAACCTTTTGACAAGAGGGTGGAGAGACTAGCAGAGTCTTTTGGAAAAATTTTCTGATGGAGGTGTTAGATCTCAATCCATTCTATGAGCTGATTTATCCTTTCTTCATTCAATCCTTTTTGTGGGGGGGGCAGGGGGGGGGTATCCTTGTCCCATGGCTTTGTATGGGGTGATTTTTAACAGCCACTGCTAATACTACAACTGGTGAGTTGTTTTCCTTAGAATGATGCTAGTTGACAGCTTGCATGCTCATTGAATTGCTTGATAGAGGCCAATTGGAACATGACCATGCCCACATGAAAATTTCTTATATGGCAGGTGGTGTGATTCTGTGTGGATATATGGACAAGTATTAGTTGAACAATCCATTAGGCTTTCCTATTTTCACAATGCTTGTATAAGAGGACCTATTGGAGAGATTTGAAATGGAATTTTTTCTAAAAAAAATTAAACATTATAATCATGTAGTGTATGCTTTATGAGAACCCATGTCTCCACTATCTTATGGGTAATATTGCAGAAGCACAATACCCTCTACATCTGCTGTCTTTGTCTGGTTAAGCACCATGTTAAGCTCTTGGAAACTGCATGAGAGGTTCAGGATTTACTGAAAATTGCACTCAGGTACAATATGCCATTGCTTGCAGCATCATACAGGTAGTTCAAATGATTTCAAGATGAAAGGAAAAGTGTTGAAGGTGATTCCTGTTAAAGTTGCCCAACAACCAATAGGAATTGGTTCATGGGTGACATTCACAAGGATTTGTCTTCATGGAATCACTTAATGTAACTTATGCACTACCCAGTGTATATATACAGGGTGGGCCAAAAGTTTTTACCCCTGTATGCCGCCCACGGAAATCATCCTCAGCAGCTGGCTTCAAGGTCGTGCGCGTCGTCATTTACTTCCTTCCTAATTGTTCCCTACCTTCTTACCTTTCTTCATAATGTGAAGGATGAAAATTTGAAGATTTTGATGCTTGATTTGGATAACCGACCAGCAGAAGATCGTGACAAAAGTTAAACGACCTCCAGTGGTCCACTCCGCGCGTTGTTATGAGTGCTCGTCTTTGCAGTGTTAATTTTTTTTAATTTACCTTTTTTTACCTCTTATTCAGAAACCCTTACAGGGAAAATGGGTACAAACCGTGTTCTAACTGAGAGTGATAGAGTTTTAATCCGGTCGCTTCGTGAAGAAAAAGGATTTACCTTGAACCAAATCTTGCATGAATATCCCGATCGAAAATGGAAAAAAAACGACTGTGCGTTATATCTTGCGAAAACTGCGTGAAACTGGCAATGTTGAACGTCTTCCAGTCACAGGCCGTCCCAGAAGAGCAAGAACGCCAGGAAACATTGATGCTGTGACCAATTTTCCCTGTAAGGGTTTCTGAATAAGAGTTTCAAAAAAAGTAAATAAAAAAAAATTAACACTGCAAAGATGAGCACTCAGCACAGCGAGCGGAGTACACCACTGGAGGCCGTTTAACTTTTGTCACGATCTTCTACTGGTCGGTTATCCAAATCAAGCATCAAAGTCTTCAAATTTTCATCCTTCACATTATGAAGAAGGGAAAGAAGGTAGGGAGCAATTAGGAAGGAAGAAAACGACGGCTCCTCTTATTCAGAAACCCTTACAGGGAAAATGGGTACAAACCGTGTTCTAACTGAGAGTGATAGAGTTTTAATCCGGTCGCTTCGTGATGAAAAAGGATTTACTTTGAACCAAAGTAAATCCTTGTGTGAATATCCCGATCGAAAATGGAAAAAAACGACTGTGCGCTATATCTTGTGAAAACTGCGTGAAACTGGCAGTGCTGAACGTCTTCCAGTCACAGGCCGTCCCAGAAGAGCAAGAACGCCAGAAAACATTGACGCTGTGACCAATTTTCCCTGTAAAGGTTTCTGAATAAGAGTTTAAAGAAAAGGTAAATAAATAAAAATTAACACTGCAAAGACGAGCACTCAGAACAACGCGCGGAGTAGACCACCGGAGGCCGTTTAATTTTTGTCACGATCTTCTGCTTGTTGGTTATCCAAATCAAGCATCAAAGTCTTCAAATTTTCATCCTTCACATTATGAAGAAGGGAAAGAAGGTAGGGAGCAATTAGGAAGGAAGTAAACGACGGCGCGAGCGACCTTGAAGCCAGCTGCTGAGGATGATTTCCGTGGGCGGCACGGTATAGGTTTGTTTTGGCAACTTTTTTTTTCTGTATGTTTTTTTCAAACAACCATGACTCATCTCCAAATGAATGTAGGAACTTAAAACCATACATTTTCAGAAAGGGCATGAAATGAACTTTCTTTTAGTTTTTTTTCGACTCTGTAGCCCAAACCGTTCAGGAGATATTCACATTTTTATACAGGGGCAAAAACTTTTGGCCCACCCTGTATATTCAGGGTTGTTATAAAGTCACCACTGTATCTTGATTGCCAATAGCTTCTCAAGAAACAGTCAGATGCTGCTGATACTTGACAATGAGATTTATGAGCATAAAAGGTTTTTTTTTTTCAATGCCACAGGATGGTGTTACATGTGATAGATGGCACTGTAGTCAGCTGCAGCACCCAGCTATGTGCCAGCATGGAAATGAATAAGTTTTAGGTCCATGAACATTTCTGTCAAACATCAGCTACATCTGAAAATTCCTTTAAAAGTTATGACCAAACAAAGTCGAATGGGTACAAGTCACAATCCAACTTTGTTAGACCATATCTTTTGAGATGACTCTCAGATGCAGCTGATATTTGGCAGAGAGGCTCTTGGGGTCCAAAAGGTTTTTATTTCATGCCTAAAAAATTGTGTAGCACAGAGATAGGGGGTGCTGCAGTTGACTACAGTGCCATCTATCAGCATGCAGTGCTATCTTGTGACAAAAAAAAAACCTCTATGTTCAATCCACAGACTCATAATCATTTCCAATGCTTCACTGCCAAAAGGTTTTCCTTTTTTTGATTGCCTCAAAAAATATTCAATAAACACTTCAATCATGTAATACAGCGAAATGAAACTTGTTGCAGTCAGTAATAAATATTCTAAGATATTCTATTCTGAGAAGATATTATGTGTAATTGTGTGATCTTGAAATACTTGGCACAATTAAACTTTGTTGGGGTCAACAGTGATCCTTTGGTATGTAAAATTTTATAGTAATAGGAAGGTTGGGTTGGCAGGAGTTGGTAGGGGGTGCCCCTTGAAATGGTTGGGTGGATGGGGCATGCCCCACCAGGAAGGAGTCTGCATGCCACTGTCTCCTTTCTCCTGTGTAATAATATGTTCTTTGATGGTGATGCATTGAAAAAATATTATTGCAGAAGGCCTACCAGGTGAAAAAGTTGGATGGATGTTCCAAGATGCAGATGTGATGCCTCAAGGTTCACCTCAGTGCCCTGACAGCAGTTTTGTTGAAGAGACAAAGACCCTCATGATTGATGGAATCCCTCGAGAAATTCGCTTTTATGGAGAAAATCCAATAATCTTCAAGGATTGGGATGACCCTCGGAATCTCTACTTTAAAGATGGTTCTCGATGTGTCTACATTGATGGCAAGCCAGCCATTGAGTGCTCATTTGGTGCTCCAGATGTCGAGATCCTTGTGAACAATTTGCCTCACCGAATTCGGTTAGGCAGTCCAATGAGAGAAGTGTACGTGGATGGTATTGGTTATGAATGTTTCTTCGGAGGAGAGCAGATTCCAATCACATTAGATGGACATCTGCATACATTACGCCTTCAGGGTCCACCCCCCACTGTTGTTATTGGGGAGGAAAAGCGATTGGATCTTGTTCTGGGCAAGATAAAAGTCTCTGTTGATAGTAAGATGTCCTTCTCTTTATTCCTGGATGGATCCCCTCAAGTTATTGACGTGTACAACCACCCAACTACATTTCAGTTTGTCAACAAATTCCGAGCCATTTTGATAGATGGGCCTGCATATCATGTTGACTTTGGAGGCCTTCCCTTGGTTGTAACATTAGGAGGGCGGACAGTGTCGCTTTCATTTTCCTCAGTCCCTCCAGGAGTCATACCAGGATACATGGAGGTGGCAAACATGACATCTGGGATAGTTGTGCCCAAGAGGTCACCTCTTCCATCTCCAAATGAAACACCAGAAATAATCCCAGGGTTGGAGACTGCACCAGTCCTTCCCATTTTGGTGCCACAAATTCCTCCAGAGGATGAGTATCGAAGAAGAAGCTGGAGGGATCGAGACAGAGACAGGGACAGGGACAGGGATAGGGATAGGGATCGACCTCCACACAGAAGAGGTAAGCCCTCTTTGTCATTATTCTGCATGATGCCTTTTGAGCAACAAAATGTCCTAATTTGCCACTTATTTTTTGTGTAAGATTTGTGCAGATTGCTAATTTCAGCTCAATAATGCTAGTTTTCTTACAGTATGAGTTGCTTCATACTGAAAAGATAATTTCATAATGTAATCCTGCAACAGATTCTGTAACAGAGGCAGAAATCACTTTATGAGGGTGAATCATGCTTCCTGGGAATGCTTATCAATACACCATAAGCCTTCCATATGACGGTGAGAAGGCAAGGTGTCATTAGACACATGCTGAAGCATTTTAAGGCAGGCAGAGCTGTCCCCTAAAGCTTTTATTTCCCTTTTACTTTTTTAGGGCTCAGAAAGAGCAGAAGGGGGGGGGGGGGCAATTTGATTGGAGAGGTTATTAAAAAATATTTTTTATATATATTTTTTTACACAAAGTGGTGCTAACATTTTAATTGATGTCTAGTGTGCTTCTCTTTGTTTGTAGTAATTGGACTGGTGGTAATTGGACAAGTCAGTTTTGACTGGTCTGTTATCCTGGATTTTCATGTGGTGGTCCATTAGGCAATCTATGTTAGTCTGCACCCAGACAGTTTATGGGGAGACCCCCTCAAAATTTTCGAATTTTTGGTGAAAATGTCAATTTGTCAGATTTTCATAGTTTTCAGTATTTCATAGTTTTCAGTAGAAAAACAATCCCATTCCATCAAAGCTACGAAGACTTTTGGCTCCTATCACCCTAATAAATAATGATTTTGTCGGCATCCTCTTCTGAATAGTTGGTGATATATCGTTGATGTCCCTTTTGTTTACAAATTTTGTCACATAATATCTTCTCTCACAGAAAATGGACCCAGGCATGCTATATACTGTTCATTCCATGTTGGACTCTGAAGTTTATGAATTAATATATACATATTTATAATGCATTACATGAGGTATAGTTGAACTCTTGTACTTGGAAACTAATTAGTGAAGTGAAATTTCAAATTAATTTTCTCTAAAAGTGTTTTTTTCGAACTTTGGAACAGTGTGTCTCTGGAATGCCTAGAGATTTTCTCTTCAAATTTTGTATTGTAATTCAAGATACATTTATGCATGTTTCTATGATGTGGTAGGTTTCCAATGTTGCTAAAAATGCCATAGTTTTTATAACAATGACATTTATAGCAAGGAGTGTGTGGTCATTTTGGTGCACCTGAAATGAAAAGTTGAGGAAAATTGAAAACATGTGAATTTTTAATTTTTATCACATTGAAATGTTGAACAATTATCTATCTGACTGTTTCACTTAGTTTTGTCCATCAATCTCTGATAGGTTAGCATGCCCCAAAGTAGTTTCTCAAAAAATGAATGGTGTCACTGGCAACTGGTTGCCATGGCAATATAGCCAGGAGGAAATACTGGGGGAACCACTGAGGAAATATGACCATGACTGAAAAGCCTAGCCTTACTGTGCATACATGACAAATTTCATGCAGCTATCTTACAAATAGTAACTGATTTTTTTTTCAAGGGGGGGTCTCCCCTTAAGATCAGGAAAGTGAATTCAATGCAGATTTTCAGGTGCATGATGCACCCCTTGCAACTTCATGATGCATTTCAAAGTCCCTAGAGAATGGGAATGGCATTTGATATTATTTTTTATGTGTATAAATACATTGAGCATTGGGAGAATGAGGCAACTCCTTCCATGGGTGCGAATTTAATTTACAATATACTCTAGCTTCTTTGGTGCAGAAGCTAACTCTTCTATCAGCTTCAATCTATCACACATCTGTATGATATCCCTTTTATCTGGAATATGTCTATATTACAAAATTGTTTATCGATGCTTCAGAATCTGTTGAAACCTGAAACTCAAGAAACTATCATTACAATATTTTTTTGCCAAGATTTGGTGCATTAAATAATTGGATTTGAGGTATCTGGTAAAGAATTGTCAAAATGGAAAGCACTCATGAAGTGATCCATCTGGTGTGCTAACACTCCAGCCCTAAGAAACAGTAATAATTTCCTTTGTCATTCCCATATTAAATAAACTCCATAAGGTTTTCCTTGTGTGCACAACTTGGTACTGCTGATTCTCAAAAGAAAATAGTGCTCTTCATGATGCCAAATAAACTGATATGACATGATAGAATGGCTGCTCCAATGTTCTTGAGTGTTTCCCAAAAATGACCAGCCCTCCTTGGGCCAAATGAGTTCGTTATGTGGAGCTATACATAAGGTACCTGACTTACAGCTTACTTGCAGGGAAACATGAAAAATTGCAGCTGTGAAACATGGCTTGATTTTTGACAAAACTATGTGCAGGCTTCCTTGTGATCCTTCAGTATGATGTTAGCATGAATTATTTCCAAAGCAAAGTGGTACCAAGTTTCATTTTTTGGCATTTCCTGCATCATAATTAAATTTCAGAAATCTGCTATTACTATTTATTAAGCTTTTCTACATTCAGTGCTTAAAGCTCAATGAAAACTTAGTTAAGCTTCCATGCCCAAATTTCTTTGGGAATAAGTAATATTGCCATATTGGAAGGATCAATGGTGTAATATTAATATACAGGGTAGGCCAAAAAAAAGCCCCAAATTTGAAGCTTAATAACTTGGACCCTGTTGGGCCAATATCAGTTTTTAAAGAAGCAAAATGAAGCTTATTCAATTTTCTTTCGAATGATATACAATTTTGGGGGGTTTGCTTCAGAGAAATGGCCAATATTACAGTTTAAAAAAAAGTGACAAATAAATTCCTGAAAACGGCTTTCCTGAGTTCTTTCCAATGTCGCACTGCTGCTGTTGCCTGTTTCTCCCATGCGCCCCCTTCTCCCACATGCCCCTGCATGATACAGATTGGTTTATGAGAGATCATGCGATCATGAGGCAAGTAACATGAGGCTGTTGTGGATTGTGGAGGAGGGCACATTGAACCTTTTTTGGGTCTGTGTGCATGTGAGTGATAAATTTGAGGTTGAGGAAAAGGAACTTGGAGTAAAAGCCCATTTTCAGGAAATTTTTTTGTCACTTTTTTTAAAACTGTAATAGCAGCCATTTCTCTGAAGCAAACCTCCCAAAATTATATATAATTCGAAAAAAATTGAACAAGCTTCATTTTGCTTTTTTTTAAATTGATATTGGCCCAACAGGGCCCAAGTTATTAAACTTCAAATTTGGGGTGGTTTTTTTTTGGCCCACCCTGTATATGATGGACATGATGGTGCCTTCTTTAAGCACATACTTTTATATTATTAATACATGGTCTGATTTACATTATCATGAGCATGGCCCCTATGTATCTGAGTTTTAGTCTTCAGTTAATTCCACTGTCACGTTCTGTGTTCTATTAACAAATTAAAAAATTTTGAGTGAGATGAATGAAGAGTTGAGTAGTTTCAGAGTCCAATGTTAGTATTCCAGCTGCTACATATGGGGAAACCCAGGGCATCTGTGTCATTCCATCTCAAGAGTCCAGAATTTCAAAAGCTTGCAGGTTTCATATGAATATTTCTGAAATTTGGCATGGAGGTTTACTGCATGCAGGAAGAAAGAAAATTCCTGGCCCATAATTTTGCTTTACATTCCTTGTTCCCAGGATATAGGGTAACAAAGTTTGACTTGGACTTTCTTCTGTGCAGATCCCCTGCATGAACTTTATTATCTCATGTACTAATCTAGCTAGGTTTTAAACATTTTCCTTACTTCCTTTCAAATCTCCATTTTCTGCATATTTTTTTAATTTAGGCATCAAATGAACATGCCTAGCATACCTATGCCCATCATGTTCCTGGTCTTTGGCCTGGAATGAGCATCAAAACCATGTTTTAATATGTATATTTCAATTGGCATACTTATAAAGGCAAGCACTAAAAAAGAAACACTCCACATTTCAGGGTAGTGTTTTTTATATGTACTGAGTTATTTATGTTAAATTGTTATTGTTAAAATTCTGCACACTTTTGCTGACTGGCTTCTCGATATTATTCACTTGGAACTTGATGCATTTCAAACTGAAGGATGAGAATAGTCATTCAGAAATGATTAAGTCGATTTCTGCTCTTTGTGACCCTCCCATGGTGACCTTTGAGGTCAATTGCTTGGGGCATCACTCCCCATCTAGCAGTGCAACAACAACTTCCATCATCCAGTGAGCCAAGTCTCTTAAGAAAGTCAAGGCAACAACAGCAAGGTGGTTAAACTACAGGGTGGGTCAAAAGAACTTTGGTTATCTTTATCACTCCACAGCACTGGTCCCCAAGAGTTTGCTAAAATTACAATAAAGCCTCTGTATAGAGCATTCATTCAACTTTCCAATGATGTCAACAGAATAAAGATTCATGGCATGCAGTAAGATAAAGAGTACAAGAGGTGGCACTGGAAATGTGAACAATGCCTATTCAAGATTACAATTATGCAAGCAAAGAGTAGACATCACCTGGAGCAAGTCTTACATGGTACTATATAAGTGCACTTTTCACGCACTCTCTCAGTTTCTGTGTGCATAACTACATTGGAATGACTAAATGGATATTTAATCTGTTGGCAGCAGTGGAAAGCTAGATAAATGTTCTACATAGGGAAACTATTGCTTGGTTTCGGACATGAAACTTTAAAGCATGAAATTCCTGTATGACAGTTTAAAATGTAATAGTTTGCAGGATGAAAGACTGCTTTGTCTTTCAGTCCACTTCAAAACCCAAAACGATTAGCCTAATGTTGCTTATATTACAGCCATATAACAGTAACTAGTGAGAACACCCCCTTGAAACTCAGGGTGTCACTTTAGATGTAATTTCCTGTAACCCATTTTGCAGCTATATTTGACAATACTTAAAGTGCTCCAAAAAATCTTTTGAATTAAATAAACAGTGAAAGGGGTAAAAAACCTAAAACCCACCTAAAGCCCACCTAAAAAACGAAAAATAAAAGTTGTGTTTCAATGACATTGAAGGGACATGTTCATGGACATTTGGACATTATTTAGACATGAGTCTGCTCACTTGACGGCAAGATGAAATTCAGGAAATGGAGGAAATGAAGTCTCAAAGAGCTTTGGAATGGGTGTAAAAGATTACTCTAGCTTGAATATTCTATTGAGAAATCAAGAAATACTTGTTAATGGATCTATGCAGGAACAAATTTTGTGACCCCCCCATATCCTGGGAACTATATGTGTGAATTTAATTTATACCCAAGACATTCCCAGTCATTGCCTGGCAAAGTGTATCAAATTGAAATTGGTCATTGATGTAGCTCCAAGGTTATGGGCAAGTTAACCTCAATGGCATGACCTATTCAAATTTTTTATGCTATGCCTGGCAATGATCAGGGGAAATTCTTAACATTATGACATGCCTTCACTAGGGAAATAGTTAAGATTCATTCATAACCTTTAGGTATGCTTGCATCATTGAGCACCAAATATGCAAGTATTACTGGTATGATGTTTTTCGTCATTTTTTCCTCAATGGAGCAATTCTCCTTTCCAAATTTGAAGTAAATCCATGAGATGTTACCTGATGCTTCATGTGGAATCATCCTTCTTGTGCCGTCAAGTGAGCCTCTGATCCACATGTTTCAGCTATTCAAGGTACCTTTAAAGAGCCATTCCACATTAACCCTGTAACTATTGTTCCAGATCCAATTGACCCTGATACAAAAATTTAGCCATTTCTTTAGGCTGTGCCATAAACTTGTCAATTCAAATACCCCATATATTTTTATGAAGACATATAGTAATCAGACAAAGTATTTTGAAGAGCTTCTTTGGGAATGAAGAGATGAAACAAAGAGTTAAAAATATGACTCTCCAGATTCTGGTAGTTACAAGGTTAGTGGGTGGAACATCCCTAAAGCATAGATTAGGTAAATTTTTTAGTTTATTTTTTTAAGGAGTATGCATGACAACCTTATATTGCTCATGTGTGAAGACAAGTGAAATCACCATATGGGTCTGTCCATGCAAGGTGATCCTGAGTACCTTTGCACAAAATTTCATTAAATTTGTGGAAACTGTACTGTACAAAATTTCATCATTTCTAGTCACTGAAGGTAAAAATAATTTTTATATTTATTATTGAAGCCCATGGGCAGAGACTTTGTGTAGTATCTCACTAAATAAATGGGAGTATTAGTCATTTATCTTATATTATTAGTACCACTCTCATCATCTATCACTCTCAATGATTCTCATTGATATGATGTATCACAGCTGTAGAGACTTAATAAGAGTTGATGCCACCATGGGATCTCCCATGCTGAGTGGTGATCTTGAATCAGCTCAGGCATGAAGGGAAGTTGTTGATTGTTTGCCTATGAATGCTGTTCTATGCTGAAATATATATACAGAGTTTTATTTTTAACATGTGGATCTCTGACTCAATCAAAGGAAAATCGATGATTCTGCTAGGTGGGTGGGATACTCAACTAATCTGGAAACAACTACACCAATCTAGTTCATCCACCTATCAATAGGAGTGATGATAACATCACCAGTTCAGTTGTTGGGCCTCCAAAGGAGACAATGAGGTGAAGGCAGAAAAAAGATATGAACTTGAGAAGAGTTATTGCTGCCTGCAGAGGTTGTTGCCTTCTTGCTTCTTCACGTCATCCTAACTTTTCAGCAATAAGTTTTTGCTGCTTGCTGCCACAACACTCCTACTCCTATAGTTTTAACTATGGTAAAACTGATAACCACTGCACAATTTTTTAAATGAGAAATCAAAGGAACCTCCTCAAAGAAGGGGCCATATCTCCTCAAACACTTTTAAAACAATCTTGATTTGAGTGTTGTTGGTATCTGCACTTGAAGATGCACACAATGGCATACTGTATGTTTTGAATCTATTATTGTGCTGCTGGATTCAGTCTGGGGGAGGTGACATAGTGAGTATCCTTGGATTGCAAGAGATTTTGGGCATTCAAATAAACTTTCAGTACATAACTTTTCTTTTATTTCCTAATAGGAAATATGGTAGGGTAACTTCAACTAATGTCAGGCTTTTGTTTCATATATGGCATGCATATTGTTGATGGGTTCTCATCTATGACAGAAATGTGGCCATTAGAGCTAGTGACTTTCATCTTAGGTTTTGTGAAATGTCATGAAATGTCATATCCAACACTTGCCTTTGAATGGATATAAACTTCTTGTAGAACAGAGTACAGAGTATGCAAGACTTTAACTAATGAAGTTTTTAGTCACTTCCAAAGGTCAAATGTTGCAGCCATTATATTAAAATATTAAAATATATTGGTTTGTCATTTGAATTTTTGTTTAATACATTTTGTGTATCAAATGTATTACTCTGGATGTCACCTCTGACACTATGGACAGACCCCTATATAGATCTTGTTTCATGCTCTTACTCTGGCACCATTAGCTTTGGCATTTCTTTAATTTTGATGAAAGATGGGATAGAAAATGGAGTAGCAGTGAAAGAACCAATTTGGTTACTCTAAAAGCTGTGAAAGTTTCTCTTTGGATTTTTCGCCCTTTCAATGTGCTTCATGGTAAATGCCACAAAAAATGAAACATCAACTTTATTCTCCTGTGCCACCAATTCACCATCTGATGTTCACATTTCAGGATTTATAGACAGGACAGAAAATGTAATGCACAGGACACATGTGGATAATTCAGTTGCATCACTTGGTAACATATATGCTTGGTGCATGTAGGATGCAATGTTTTTCCAGATTGATGAAAGTGTGTTCTTTAGACATACCAATCATCAGTGGTCTTTGTTCTATAGTTCCCTTATTGCTCATTTAAGATTTGGAGCCTGAGGCTTGGAAAGTGGACCCTTCTGCCAGGTTCATGTCTTTCCATAAGGTGCTGTAGGTCCTTGAGTATCAAAGAGGAAGAAGGATTCTGCAATAGTGGATTTTTATACTCTTAAGTTTTCTTTCTATTTGTAAAAATGGCATTGATATAGGCATATCAATGATTGCAATAGTTGTGGGAGTAAAATTAAACAAAACATGATCATTGAAAGAAAAGTGAAGAGTCATTGTGAAATTTGGGAATTTTGAGATGCCATTGTGAATGTTGCTCCTTTTTGCTGTGATCTATCAGCAACAAGGAGCAACACAATGCTCGTAACACTTTGTATACAGGGTGCGTTTTATGTGCTTGTGTGAAAAAGCTGTGCTTTCTCAGGTAATGTGATTAATTTTGTAAAGTGTTGTAGAGAGTCAGGGATGGACAATCACAACTTTCTACATGACCTGTATGCCATGTTAACTTTTCACTCTCAGAACATAGAAATCTGTATTGCAGTTGCTTTTGCACACCCCATCTAAATTGGATATTTGGGGAGAGAGGTCACTGGGCACATGTCATCATTATTCCACCAAAACCTAGCTTCACCTAGTCACTTACTGACTTTAGGAAATTCCTATTGAGGATTTTATAGGCCTTGCATTCAGTCCTAGAATCGGAGTAATCATCAGTTTTGTCTCAACCTGATTCTTCTTAACCTCTCTTGCTGAATTTTGGTATAGGACCCTCTTAGGCTTGCCTGATGAGAGAAACTATTCCAAGATGCTACAGTTTCTTGAATTTTACTATTTTGCCAGTTCTATGTGAACTTGGCAATATCTATTAATCTTTTTTAGTATATTAGTTGCTGTATTTAACCCCTCAAGCGTGTGCGATGTCATATGCCGTTCTTGTGCTGGAGGTGCTGCTGCCAACCAGATAAAGCCACACTTGAGGGGTTAAAGGAGTGCTTTCCGAAAAAAGTCTGATGGAGCTCTGGAAATGGTCCCTTGTTTTGTTCTCCAGGGAAGCAGAATTCATTTGAGTTCCTCAAGAATCTGTTACCATCAAAAGGAGAAAAGTCATCAACAGGTTAGCATCTGAATTTTTATTCAGTGTTTATCAATTGAAGCACATATTTTATATTTTCTTGTGGAAAAGTAATTTGCATTTTTTGTTGCTGAGTAAATGACAGGCAATTCGTGTAAGCTTTTTGTTTAAAATTCTTCTGAATTTTAAATTAAGAACATTTATTCTGTTTTGACTCATTTTAATAACAGGTAACAGCGGAATTCTTCAAATACAACTGAAAATACAAAATATCCACTTCAATTGCAGTGTATTTCTTGTTCTTTAAAGTCATTTAAAGACTTAGGCTCATGTCTAAATTCCATTTAATGATAATGTCTTCATTACCTCTGCATTCCTTTTAGATGGGAAGGATGTGGGGTCATTATTCTCTAAGTTGGTGGCTGCTGGGCTAGTTCCTCAAGTTCCCAGTGATGCTCCTTGTCCACAGGATGACTCTGAAGTTGAATGGACAAGTGAAAGTCTCAAGAGGCAAGTTATGCTACTTCTTCATGTATGAATATCACTCCAATAATTTTTTAAAGTTTTTATTGACAAATGAAATCAAATTCATTCAATCCCCTCATTGATTGAATGAGTTTCATTTAGGCTGCTTGTGAAAGTTTCATCCTGTTCTGTTCTGAGGGCTTCACTATGAACAAATAAAACCTTGATATTTCATACAGGCAAGCTTAACCCATGGAGGCTCTTTAACAGTTGTAGAAAATGATGACACAAATGTGATGAAGAATCAATTAAGTCCTTGACAGAATTGTTGTTCACAAGATGTCACTAAATGACAACAGTTAGACTTTGTCTGGAAAAGTCTGAAAACTTTCAGAGTGACCCTCACATATAGGGGGTGATCATTTGCAGCAATTTTACTGCTGGGTCTGCTTCTCCCACAGACAAAGACTTTTCCCCCAAATAAAATTTTGCATAGCAGATTTCAAATCTTGAAAAAGATTCTTCAAGTTGGATAATGCAAAGAATATTTTTGAGTTAAAAAAAGTGCCCAGTTTATGGGAACATCAACCTTTCTTCTGGCTGTCTGCTTTTGGATATTGCCATGTTACCATTATATGCCCTTTCTCACTATGAATTGAGAAAGGGGGAGGGTATATTTTCCTCAGGTTCTTTCATAAATTGAAGCCCATGCCAGCCAGGACAGCATCCTGTTCAAGTTTATCACATCATTTTTTCATATCTGATACTGTTGATGTTGGAATATTCAAAATCATATGCTACCTCAACTTGCCTTTAACCCTTTCACCCTAGGACTTGTTCATACCAGAGTTTTCTTATATAGACAATGAAAGAATGTTACAAATGAAAGGTTTTTGGAAGAGAATTTTCAAATAAATCAGCATTGAAAATCTTGCCTATAAAGCTTTCAAAACTCAAAAGTTTTATTTGCAACTCAAACTTGTAAAGAAAAGTTTCTGGTGTGAATGAGGTCTATGTCTGAGAACTAGAATTTCCTATTCCTCCTCCCTTGTGAGCTCACCCTGAGAGCACTTAGTCATAACTAGAGGTAAGAAACTTCTAATGTTACTAATGGCAAGTACAGATTAGACTGAGAGAGGGTGCATGACATGACTATAAATCATGAAAGTCTCAATGAAAAGAGTATTCCTCATTACTCAGTTCCAGAAAAGGGGCAAGGGAGAGTGAAGACATGGGAAAGAGACAGGGAAATCTCTTATTTTCTGTTGTATTATGTCTCTTCTGCTAGTAAAGTAGGTAAAAGTCCAGATTAATGGGGAAGAATTACCCAGGGAATAAGAAAACTCATCCAGATGAACAGAAAATATTCAATATATAGAATAACAGCATCCAGTTTAAACTAATAATTTTATTGTTGGTTCTATGGAACTTCTGAGATTATTCACGATGTCAGTATTACTGGGAAATTTGGATTCATTGCATTCAGATTGGTAAGAGTTGACTATATATGTTTTCCATCAGATTTTTTAAGTATTATTGAACCATCTGATGAGAGGCAGGTATTTTACTTCTGGGGAATTCAGAAAGTAACTACACTGAATGAATATCATATATCTCCAGAACTGCTTGACAGATTGCCATCAAACTTAGCAGACTATACTGGGTGAGGCAAAATAATGTGCCACTCTTTGAAATTTTGTGGCATCTCTAAAACAGTAGCTAGAACAATGAAGTTTCTTTCATATACACCTCTATACATCCTTTGAGCATCCAATGGGCCAATTAAGGATGAATGCCATACCACCATTGTTTGTCATTGTGACAGATGTCTGATTCACCTGGACATGGCTATTGCTGCATGCCTGAGCCACCCACATAATAGGGCAGAAAAGCTTTTTTGTGGCCATTTATATTGTGGCAGAATATTTTATTGATTCTGTATTCTATGAGCCTCATCTCATAGTATGCAGAATCACTGAAATATTCTGAAAAATCATTTTCACAAAGCCTTTTAAATTTGTTGCTCTCCTGTGGGCTATAACTTCGCTTCTCTTTTTTGTAGGCGCCGGCAGGGAGTTATCTTATCATTGTACCGGGGGATGCAGTGCTCTGCTTGTGGAGTACGGTTTCCTGCAGAATCAGCTGAACTGTATGGTCCCCACCTTGACTGGCATTTCCGACAGAATCGAGCCGAAAAGGATGCTCAAAAGCATGCACAGAATAGACGCTGGTATTATGATCTCTCTGACTGGATACAGTTTGAAGAGTTGGAAGATGATGAAACAGGTAAGGCAAGTTTGATGTAAGTTTGTGAATGCATTTATGAGTTTTGAATCCTTACATCTGGTGGTGGAATATCTTCAGAAATATGGACAGAGACAACTCAAGTGCAGCGGGAAGATGGCCCTGAGACTGATGACAAAGAACCCAAGGAAATACCAAGTGTTCCTGCTGGGGAATCTGATGAGGACAATATTTGTGCCATGTGTTTTGAGCCTTTTGAGCAGTTCTTTGATCGGGAAAAGGATGAGTGGAGGCTCAAAGCTGCTATAAGAGTGGAAGACAAGGCATATCATCCAATGTGCCATGAGGATTTTCAAGTTGGTTTCCAACTCTAGAGACTTAATTTTTGTCTGGTTGTCCTTGGGCTTATGAATTGTTGTTCTTCAAATTTTTCAGCAGGCAAGCGTGAATGAGAGTATGGAGGGTATTGAAGAAAATGCACCTATGGACACATCTGAAGAAGGCCCTGAGAACAAGAAAACTGGGTCAGTTGATATAGAATTGGAAACCAGTGTTAAGGAAGAAGAGACTAAGTTGACTGAAGATGAACATGCCCTGGAAGAATTGAAAGGGGAAGAGTTGGCAACCTCAAAGCAAGAAGAGCACCAGGTACCAGAAGAGAAAATGGAAATGGATGAAGTGGAAGGAGAAGTATTAGATCAGGTTGCTGTTGCCAAGGAAGAATCATTCAGTTTCCCTGCACAGGAGATGGAAGCAGTACCAGAATGTGTTGCATTCAGTTTACCATCTGAGGAAGAAGTTAAGAAGCAAGTTGAAAGCACTACAGACATGAATGGTATTAACAACCAAGTAGAACCAGAACTGGAATATGGAAAAGGAACCAAGGATGGGTGCACTGAACCTGTAACTGCTGAAGGAACTATTGATGAGGAAGAGGAAGGGGGCAAGGAAAAACCTGCTGGTGACACTCCATTCTCCCAACCAGAGGAGTCTAACTTTTTGCAGGGAGGCTGTATTGAAGTCACACAACTACAGTTGGACCAAATAAAGCCTCAGTGTGATGAAGAAAGGCCAAGATCTGAAGAAGAAAAGGAATCTAAGCCCCTTGACACCCCTGCTGGATCTCTGGGTAAGATTTCCCTTATTGTGCTGCATTGTACAGTTATGCCTTCTGTATACACTGTTTACAATGAAAGAACCTGTCATCAGCTCAGAAATCAATTTTTTAATTGGTAGAATGGTGAATTTGATATGATGAGTTCTGATATCAGGACTCATAACTGTATGAAATTGAAAGGTACCATCCAGTTTTTTGTTAACACCTTATGTGCTTTTGACATAATATTATAGATCGTCTTCCTGCACTCCATTTGTTTTTTGATGAAATATTATGTTTGTAATATCATCTTGTAAACTGATCTTTTTTAATACATAATATTGCACATGTTGGGTGCTTGGCTATGGTAAATTTTGTGCAAAGAAATTGCATTTACAAAGTAAATCAGAGTGTACACATGACTACTAGAATTGAAATATTTAAGGGGTTAATATGGAAATGAAATCATGCTGTTTTTAACAGCAATAAGTCCCCTTTCATGAAAACACTGGTTATGTTACTCTCATGGAATTAAACAATGCAGACTCTTCTGCTTTCTTGTGACTATCCCGACTGACCAGAGACCGAGAGTCCGAGAGTTTGACCTTAAATTGGGGCTAGTGTTGGCATGGTAGAAGGAAGAAGTAACCTGACAGAATTAGTTAGGCTGGAAAGGGGGGGGGGGGGGGGGGGGGGGGGGAGACACNGGGGGGGGGGGGGGGGGGGGGGGGGTGGTACAAACTTCAGACCTGGGACCAGGCAAGGAAAACCCTTACGAACCTGCGAACGAGGTTCGCGGGAACGGAGGCGCGCGGCGGGCGGCCCGCTTAGTCCGCTTGCATATCCTTCCCGGGAAATTCCAATTTGTCGCCTTAGGTTCGCGGGAGAAATAATTTTCCTACAGTGCCTGGGACTATTAGGCCGCTAGGTTAGACTCTTCCATAAGAGAAGAATATATTAATGTACTATGTGTATAATATTATGGAAGGTTATTAGGAAATGTCGGGACAAAGCTATTGCCTAGGTATCTAAATTCCATGCACAGGTGAAACTGTAGTTACTTGTGAACTAGCTGGAGCAAGTTTTGGTTCACCAAGATTCGTAGCAACTCACAACCCACGAAGACTGAAAGGATGAGTAGAACTTCTCATTAAGCAGGCAGGGGGAAATGCCCCATGAAAAAATTACTGCAAGCAGAAAAAATATGGCTCATGTTTCTTCTGATTGCTGTACCCATGTTCTTCAATCGGGGTACTTCATGACACCATCCAGTTCACAGAGCAAAAGGCACCAAAATAGCATATCATTTCGTCCTTCCCTTCTTTTCAAACCACTTGAGGATGTTCACTGGTATGAAATTAATGGTAATTAATGGTAGGCCTGTTGAATGGGTGCATCATCTTCCAAATTACAGGTGGAGACAGACCCATTTTACCTGGAGAAGTTCACAGCAGGACTGCAGAAGTACAAGACGAGAAAGAGGAAGTTCACATCAGAGCGGAAGTGAACATCGATATGCTGCAGAATGATGCAGTAGTGAAGATGGAACCAGAAGACATTGAGGAAGAAATTTATCAAACTTCGACATTGCCTAATTCATCCTTTCTTTCTGCAAAAGAGGAAGTCAGTAATGATGGTTTCCCAATGGCAAAGTCTGTTGTGGAAAGTAATATCGAAGGGAATGTTGAGCTAAGTGAAACAACTCCTCAGGCTCAGTCTGTAATTCCCAAGATCAAAATAAATCTGAGCGTTGGTCAGGCAAGGAGAGATGAGGGAAATGAAGAAGAAAGTAATGAAGAGCAACAGCTGCAAGAGCTGAAACCTCGCTTGGTTGGGCGCAAGCTCACCAACATGCCCCCCAAGATGAAAGGTTCTGAGATCTCGGCTCTTTGTAGCATTATGTGAAGGATTATCTTCGACTGAAAAACGTGCTGTTCTCTTGTCTGTGATCCTCCCTGTGACAGCATTAAATCTTGGGGGAACTGCTGAAGTGCTGTAGGGAAGTTAAAGATTTTTATTGCGATTATGGTCATTATTATCCTCTCATGGAAGCAGGAAAAATAGAAAATACAGTTTTATTTTCACAGAATGTTCCTTGCTACTTTTTCTGTAAATGTGTGGGGATGCAGGATGGACAAGTGGGAATTTTCTCAGGATGGGTTTCACACTGTATCCCCATGGCTCAAAAGATGAAATAAAAATTTCTAAAACATTGTACAGTGTTTCTCTCGTTTCACTTGGACCTTGCTGTGGGATATCTCTTTGTGTAGTCTTGAGGAATTCGGAAAATAAAAAGGAATTTGATGACTGTATTTGGTTTCATTTCTGATGAGGTTAACTTGTGCCCGAAATTCATTGCACTAATGAAAGGTGTAAGAGAACGGGTCCTGGAGAGAACGCTCCAGTAGCAATGCCCTCAAGCTCTTCACAGAGGTAGACACGATACTTCACAAAATTATTTAAACGTACGATACAGATGCTCGATGGAAAAAGATGCAGGCACAGACAGCGATTTCTTGAGAAACATGGCTGGGCTCAGACTTAACTACTTGGGAAGCATTTCTCATGTTCATGTCCTCGCTGCCTCCGACCCAACCCCCCACCCCTCCTCCTCCTCCTCCTCTCAGGAAGATGTATGCTTCAAGAACATACGAGGTTTGACAAAGTAACCAGGCTGATTTTGTAAAAAAAAAAAAAAAAAAATTATTACTAACCTGTAGTGGATGTGGTCACCTTCAAAGTACTCTTCTGACTTTATACACACATCCGAACGTCTTCGCCATGCCTAGAAACATTGCTGGAAATCATTTTCTGAAAGTATTTTCAATACTGCCGTCACATTGCTCTGAATGTCTTCAATTGATTAAAAATGAGATCCTTTCAAGGAGTTTTCAGTTTTGGGAACATGAAAAAGTCAAATGGGGCAAGATCAGGCGAGTATGAGGGATGTTCCAACATTGATCAGCATGGTTTTGACCTTCGATTTTGGCTTATTTCCGTAGCTGTCTACTCCCATTGTACCTACTGGGACGAAATAGTTGGTTTATGCCTACCTCGCTGCCGCAGTTCGAAAATGCATATGTATACCTAGAAAAAGTTACAATATGCCGAGTAACCCAAGGGAAACAGTCGCTTATTGCCATAACGGTTTTTTTTCCCGCCATGGGGTGGCGACTTCGTATTGGATAGGACAGGTGTCGTTTCATCGGTATAATAGAGCCCCCATTGCAAAAATTCATGAATGCCTGTACAGGCTGCGTACATTTGGGACTGAGCCCATGAACACTCACGGTCGGTGGCAGAATGGGACGGAAAGCAAGCGCTGGCATAACAAGCCAACCCCCGGGGGTGAATGTTCCAGTGTGTCTACGTCAACGTCGAAATTGCCCTGCAAACTCCATGACCTTATGGCATAATGACACAACGTGAGCAAATTTTCTTCCCAAGTCCTATAAAATGGGATTTCTTGACCGGATCAACCTCACAGTCTCAATCGTCGTCATGTCAGTACGAATACTGGAGGGTCTGCGAGGAGGACGGAATCTTCTCCATGAAGGATATCTCTTCAGATTGAATAGGTTCGAGCCATTTTCACAGTCTGTGCATCTGAAATTCAACTGGTCTTGATTACTTTTACCCCATGTATTTTAATCTGACGTGAATGCTCCAGAAGACGAGGTGAAACGTCTCACTGGAAATGCCATAATTCTCGCTGCAATGCAACGGTCACTATCACTGAAGATGCGTTGCTGAAAGCCTCTTTCGGGAAGCACGCACACGAAGAACCCAAAGGCAATGTCCATCGGCTTTGGTTTGACTCAAGACTCCGAGAGCGAGTGAAAAGGGACCAACTCACTCCCATACCAACCTTGTATAGGGAGGAATTTTTGGCTATGAAAGCCGAACACCCAGACAAGAAGGAATGGATTCAAGCTTACGAAACGGTGAAAAGTACTCTATCGAATCAAGATCCAGCACTTTTCCCAAGATGTCAAGGTCACGGACAGAACTCCAGATCCCAGCCGATTATCGGCTCACCCTGAATGGTCGTCCCTTCCTTTTACGAGATGAAGGCGGAGGGAAGAGAATACTTATTTTCAGCACTGCAGAAAACCTTTGGAAAATTGCACATGCTGAGCAAATCTTCATGGATGGGACGTTCCACGCGTCCACGAAACTGTTCTTTCAGTGCTTTCAGCATAGGAAAGATCTTTCCTATGCTGGCTGCTTTCCTGCCGGATAAAACCGAGAGCACCTATCGACGTGTTTTCGGCATCGTTAACGACATCTTGGAACAGCATGGCCTTGAACTAAAGCCGAAGTGTGTGTTAGTGGATTTTGAGCGTGCGATCCTCAATGTGCTCTCTCAATCTCTCCCCTGTGCAACAGTTAAGGGGTGCTTCTTCCACTTCACAAGTGCTCTCTGGAAGAAAATTCAGGATCTTGGACTTTCTTCCCGGTATAGGACGAACGCTGACGTCCGACGATGCCTTCGGCGCTTCATGGCTTTGCCCCTTCTCAGGCATCCAGGCGAAAGAGAGACCTCGGGACGTGCAGCTGAAGAACCTCAAAAGTGCCTTGGTCCAAGAAGCAATATCTCTCGGAGAATTCATGGACTGTGTCGCTGATATGTTTGTTAAGAGTAGTACGTGAACACGTTCCATTCAATGCCAATACATTAATGAAATAAAACAATTGAAAATGAATTTGTTGTTTCACCTGTACTGGCAAAGATGCATCATCATGATGCAAAAATGGGGGGGGGAAACCTCTACATATGAATTTGCAGCAGACAGAATGACTGCTACAGTGGAGCTATACAGCTTCAAAATAGCCTCTTGATACATGTCCCTCTTGTGGCGGAATGGTACAGTTGTGGGTCAGATATCTTCACGATGCAACCTTCATGGGTTCGATTCCGTAGGCATTCTGCTACAAAATATGTAGGTGCTGTGGGACACTGTATATACGGTATAGTGACCTGGGAGGGCAAGCTAGGGCTCCAGGCTGGGCGAGTGGGTAGGGGAGCGGGAACAAGTCGGAGAGGGAGGGAAGCTGCTGCATGCGGAGGGGGTTCCTGTGCGATTTTACGTGCTAGCAGCGAGTTCGCGAAACGCGGCGACCTGTCGCCGTTTACCCTGCCGTATTTATATACCGTATTTACCGTATACGGTATTGGTATTTCATATCGGTATGAAATATAAGATCTCTATGGACGTTACGCCCGATGGGGTGTAGGCACGGGGGGTTGTGAGGAGGGGGAGGAGAGCGGGGACCGATTCTTACGAGTCTTCCTCTTACCAGGCATTCTGTGCCTGGTGAGAGGGGGGAAGATTTAGGGAGAGAGTCTGGTGAACAGAAAGAAGAGGCTAGAAGCAAGAAGAGAGAATGAGAACAGTCAACAGTGAGCGATTGTCTTCAAAAAGACAGTTCGGAAATGGTACGGATGGTCTTCACAAATACAATTTCGCGCTGCCGGAACAATGGACCCCAGCAGCAGAAGTGAGGATATCAGTTGATGCCTAGGAATAAACACCAGCTGTGGATCTGTAGTCTTCTTACTCTCGGAAGTAGCTTTCAAAGGGAATATGGGCATATTTCTGGCCTGGACTCCATGATTCTATCTGGAAGATGAAGATGACAAATAAGAAAGTATCGAGGTTTATTGATTGCTACAATGAGGCAAGGCGAGACATTTGGGGATGTACGAAACTCTCTTGTGAGAGATGATTCCATGAGTATGGAGAGGGAACTTTTGTGTCCTTTGAGAAGTGCGAGAACCCAATACTTCCATCCAAGAAGAGAACTTCAAACGGAACCCTATTGGCCTATTGGGTTCCGCATAGGCCCTATATGGAACCCTATAGGACCTATAGGTCCTATAGCGAACCCTATAAGCCCTAAAGGGAACCATATAGGTCCCAAACTGAACCCTTTGGGGTTCAAGGAACCTATATTATTCCTATATATTCCTAAAGGAATATATAGGAATCCCATAAGGCATTTTCGTAAGGGATAGCGAACGAGGCCGTCAGTGTTTTCTCCTTACAGCACTTTTAAGCTTCCCTCGAAATTCTGCAAAGCTGCAAACTCCATCATACACAAGCTGCAGGTTGTCCTGTGGTAGAAGTGCAAACATTCATGCATTATTTTCATAGTTCGGTTGAAGGGACGCTAAAGAACCTTGGAATATAACCAACCAGAAACCCTTACCTCACCGTGGTGATGTGAGGGTTTCTCAAAATACCTCGCAGGTAATGCAGTTTCTTCTCGACGCTTCCTCGATCCTCATTCTCCATGCTTCAAGCCACGTCTAAAAATCTCTTCACCATCACGGATCCTAATCTCACTAGATGCTTTAAAACTCGTTGCTTCTTCTCGGCCTTTGGGAGCATTTCATTTCACAGAATTAAATTATTTTGCATTTCTAGGATACAGAATGATATCAAAACTCATGACGCAAATAACATCACAGCGGGATAGTACCCATTACGGTAAATCATTGCCATTTGCGATTTTATGTTTTCACTTTCAAGACGATGAATCGTTCCCTTGCGAGTGAAACTACTGCAGAAAATCACCAAAGTCGTGCATTCTTGTCAACTGGGATTTGCCTATATACGTTGACGGAAATACATTAGAAATACATTAATTTTATTTAACCATTTACATCTCATTTCCGAAAATATCTGGAGACATTGGATAATACTTAGTAAGCAATGATTCAGCTGGAACATGTATGTCAAAAAAGTTTATTTAAGGAAGTATGACTTCCATGATTTCCAATATGAATAAACTGTTCCTTTGAAAACAAGAAAAGAAAATTCACTTCTGATATTTCAGGCATGTCTTGATGTGCTCAACTCTTGAGACGCTATTGAAAATACTTTCTTAGTAAATATTGGGTTTGGGGCTTGAAATGAGGGTGTAGGAAATTGGGTCCAAGGCCCTCCATTCAATGCTTCACGATTCTTTTTATCATCACGAGACAGTGTGATTTTGCACAAATAGGGTAAGTGCTGCGAATGTCGGCACTGGGGGTAATCTCGGCACTTTGCAATTGTCAAAGTTCTGCTTCCACTACTAGTGCCCTAAGCACGGGTAGATAAGTGTTCTCAGATGGTAGGACTAATGTTGTTAACATGTGCTTGGAACAGTCAGATTTGCTGTTGTAGTTCTCTCGCAGTGGCCTCTTTCTCTAAGCACACCCCGAAAATCCTGCGAAATCGTGTGATTTTGCTAAGCTTTTTCACATTCCGTTCTTCTCTTCCTCACCAGATATTGTTTTATCTGGTCGTTGCATTCATTTTTGGATTTGGTGTAAACGACAGTGATGCATAAGTGTGCCGAGATTCCCGACAGGGTGGTGCCATCTATACTAGCAAGTGTGCCGAGATTGCCAACATCTGACCCATCTTCGCCTTTGACCCAGGCCCTCGGAAATGAAAGGTATGGGGCACTCGAGGTTTGCGGTAAAAGGAGGTTTATAATAAAGGTATCACCAGACCCATTATGAACGAGGAAGCTCCATTACGAAAACCAGCGAGCAAGGTGGAAGTGCAGAATTTGCTTAGAGTGCCGACATTCGCAACACACCCTACCGTGAGTATTTCCCGAAATTCATGGAAAGTTTCGAGTAAAGGTGCGTTCACACCAACCGCATAGCATAGGGCGACAAAACATTGCACAAGTGCCCTTGCGTGGTCAAAGCCTCTAGGGCAGTGGTTCTCAACCTTCCTTTTAGTCCCATTGAACCTTCATGCATTCGGGGGGGGTGACACCTCCCAGGTTGAGAACCACTGCTATGGGAAGAGGATTCAACATAGCCCGCAAGGAACCCAAGCTCAGTCAATCAGAGCAGAGTTGTGAAGTCAAACTTATCATGGCGGTTTGCATGGAGGAAATCCTTATAATTGGAGTCCAAAGACGATGTCAAAAGCAGGTCATTAACATCCATAGTGTGGAGTAACAAGGTTCTACTACGCAGGTTTCTATTCGGACTTCACTCTGCACACTGCCTAGAACCCTACCTGATGCCCCATATTGATGACAAGAACGGCATAGCGCGATGAAAGTGTAAACAAGAATCTTTAGGCGCTGTGCTATTCTGTCAGTCATGCTATGCTATGTGGTTGGTGTGAACGTGGCGTAAGACCCTATTCAAACCTTATATTTCAGAACATTTAGCAGAAAGATACGTGAAAATGTCTTGACTTGTTCTCTAGTTCTTAGAGGAGTTAGTACCATATATGGTTAGTACAAACGATATTCCAGCTCCGAAATGCGATCTCATTTGGCTTCGTAGATAAATCCTCAAGGGCACGGGGTCGCCGTTACGTACTTGCAACGACAATCGAAAGGATAAGCATATTATTTGCGTTATGGGGGGGCTGCGAGGGGTTAAAGGTTCCTGGTGCCTCGAAGACGGGACGAGAGGCTTAGAGAGGATGTGGAGGGAAGAGTTATGTGTATGGGGATAGCCCGTATCAGGCTGCATTCGCGAGAGGGCCTCGAGTGTGGATGGTATCGTTTGTATCGAGAACAAAGAATGGGGCTGGAAGGGACAGTCGGTATGAGTCAGGGTCCGGGGGATAACGTGTCTCTTCCTGTCTAGTTTCCTGCCTTTCTCTTCCTCCTTCCCCACCTCGCTACCCCGAATTCACAAGGGAAAAAGTGAGAGGAGATCCGGGTCGAGGCACGAGGGTAGCCCATCCAAGATGGCGCCGACCATGTTCACGTGTGGTTGTTGTCTTCGGTTTACCTTCAGCCCGGAAGAAATAGAACAGCGGTTTCGGAGTGAACAGATCGATAAGATGCTGGAGAAAGAGAAGCATCGATTCCGGAGACAAGTGAAACTGTTGCTTCTCGGTGCCGGAGAGAGTGGGAAGTCCACGTTTCTCAAACAGATGAGAATCATACACGGCCTAAGTTTCGACGCGGAGGCGATCGAGGAATATCGGTTCATCATCTATCAGAATATCGTGCGCGGGATGAAGGTGCTTGTGGATGCTCGACAGAAACTCGGGATTCCTTGGGAGAATCCAGAGAATGAGAACCCAGCAATGCATGTGATGAAATTTCGAAGTGGGATGGTCCTTGACTCGATGATATTTAGGGAATACGTTCAAAGTGTCGCTTCACTCTGGGAGGATCTGGGTATCAAGACCGCCTTTGAGAGAAGAAACGAATATCAACTGGTAGGTTTAAGAGTAGGGGAATCTTAAGGTATGACCTCACAAATTGGTCATCAGATGAGTTCCTGATGTTTTGAGAAGTGCCCTCTTTTATTAGTGAGAATTATGATCACTAGGAGTCTCTTGAGCCCTCTTGGGAATAACACTTTGAAAGGGAGCAGGTAGAGAATAGTGGATGCAAAGGCATAGCTGACCTCCAGTAAGGGGGGAGGGGAGCTACATTTAGCTGGCCGTTGAGTTGGTTTTGAGCTTCAATGGAAATTAACAACCTTACTGTTAGCAGATCAATGAGATGGAGCAAGCCTGAAAGTCAAACAAGTCCTACAAAGTGGGATGACAGGTTGATGAGTCAGCTAAAGTGGGATGACTGGTCTCCCAAGTTCCTACTTGAACTCACTTGTCAACCTGTCTGGTCGCCCCCCTTGGACTGGTATTGATCCAGGAAGCAAGGTGTACTTGGCCTAGATTATTCAATTTATTGGTTATTAGATCAAGGTCTTCTCACAACTGGGAAAAATTTAGAGCTTATGTCATCAGTGACAGTCACAAGTTGCAGCTGCATTGTTATAACCCATTAACTCAATAACCACTTCTGCCAGTTATATTTAACTAGTCTTGCACCCTATTTAACTGGTTTTGTTGAAAAACAGTGGTAACTGAATGATATAACTCTCGTCAGACTTGTAAAATCTGGCCCTTTACTTTCGTTAAATCTTGTTAGGTATTCTTTTCCAAATTAGCTTAGTGTAACAGTAGCAGTATAGAAGGCACTTGGAGGTGCAACTGAATGTCCTGGATTTGGCTGATGTAGTGGTAGCATATCCAACTGGTAATCAGAAGGCCTGGGTTCTATTCCCTGATGTTCATTCAACCTTTTATACTTTCTTAATCTTCCCCATGACTTAATGCTACTGACATTGTATTAGGCATGCCCCATGGTCATAGTTACTGACTGAGTAAAGCCTTAGTAGACCTATCAAAGAATGTCACTCATGTTGCTAAATGCATGCAATTGTAATGCTCACAAATTTCTGTGAGTTTAATTAGACAAAAAAATTGACCAGAATGAAAAGAAAGAACATCTCACTCCTTTTTACTCTGGACAAATTTCTGAAGTGGAAGTTTTCATTAAGGTGATCAGATTGAATCAATGACTGGGATAGTGCTGTGTGCCCAAAGCTGAACTAAAATGGAAGCTGTTATGGCAATTATTCCTATGCCCTACATATGCATTAAATTGGTTTTTGCCCTAATGTTTTGGGCAAGTATGACTTGCAGATAGGTTGAATCATTTCTTTTCCATGGCCTTTAAAATTTATTATGAAGGTCTTGGGCTATAATGTTAGATTGGTGAATCAGTGTTATGTGTTTAGATGGAATGTCCTGCTTGCCTAAACCATGTATAGCTAGTTTTTTGTGAACAGGTTATGAGTACATTGAGATATGTAAAAGGTAAAAGATTGCTTTTGCTATTTGTAGACCTTTTGCACTTGTTTATTTCTGTTGCCACTGACCACTAATCGCTTGTGTTTCAATGCTTCTCTTCGCAGGCTGACTCAGTTAGGTACTTCTTTGAGAATCTCTCCCGCATTGCTCAAAAGGTCTGTTGAAGGATGGTTATATAATGAGACTAGGAAACTTCCATAGAACATTGATCAAATTATTTTTTCCCCCCTAGGATTACATCCCATCTCACCAAGACATCTTGCGTGCACGCAAAGCAACAAAGGGAATCACGGAATGCGTGGTACATGTGAATAGGATCCCCTTCCACTTTGTTGATGTAGGAGGACAGAGATCTCAACGACACAAATGGTTCCAGTGCTTTGAGAATGTCACCTCCATACTCTTTCTTGCATCTTCATCTGAGTTTGATCAAGTTCTTGCTGAGGACAGGTAGGATTGAAGTCAAAGCCTACAATTATTAGTCTGCAAGTGTATTGATGCAACCATCTCTGAGTTAAATCAGTTAGGTCCGTAAACATCACGTGGCTTTATTTGATGACTTTTCAGGGTTACGAATCGTCTGAGAGAATCGGCCTCCATCTTCGACACGATCGTAAACCACCGCTACTTCAGGAACACATCTGTGATTCTGTTCTTGAACAAAACAGACTTACTGGAAGAGAAGCTGTCCAAGCGTATCTCAGACATCCGAGATCACTTCCCGGAGTTCCCCGGGGACCCTGGAAGCCTCCAGGACGTCCAGCAGTTCCAGTTGGGGATATTCATCCGCCTCCTGCGAGATCCATGCAAGTCCATGTTCCATCACTTCACCACAGCTGTGGACACCAAGAACATCAAGGTCGTGTTCAGCGCCGTCAAAGACACCATTTTGCGAGTCAACCTGCAGAAGCTCATGCTCCAGTGAAACCTTACCTTTGAAAAGTGCTCAGCAGTGCCTGTTAATTCCCTCCCAATGTGATATGTTGAATGCCTTTTCTCTTGTACCCTGATAGCCGCCCATACTCTGTGCCAATTTTTCTTAGTATTATTGTATGCTTTTTCGTATTGTAGGCCTATGCAGGGACCAGGACATTTGATTCAGGGTATTGCACATCAGGAGTACTTGGTCTTCCAATCCTGAATATCCATGACCTGCTCAAGATCTGAATGATCTTGAGTGCTTTTTCCCTCATGCTATTGTTCTCTCAAAAGACTGAAAAGATTCCTGTTGTTTCCATTCCATCTTCCAATGCCATTCCATATTGGATGGATCTTCGTTAGTCTTTTTCCTCAAATATTCCAAGTCTTTATTTCCCAGAATGGCTTCCTTTGTGCATCTGTAAGTGACAGTGCAAATCCTTAATTCCCATGAGCTTAGAGACCTTGTCTATTTTTTATTTGCAATAATTTTTTTTTTCCATCGCTGTTCTCTGCCACCCTATGATGAGGGATTTGTTTGTTATGCAAAATTCTCACTTTGTTCAAGAATACATATCAGTTGCCTCGTTATTTGTGTTTTTTCGTCTCGTCACGTTCAGTTTGGCCCCAAAGACGATCCGCGTTTTCCTGCACGGTTCTTTGGCAGCTTCCTCACTCAAATTTGCGCGACCTGGCCACGTACACATCCAGAGAGGCTGTTATGACATTGGCGTGTGAGGGATGAAGGAAATGGACCGTCGCTACTTGCGGGCATTCCGCCAATGGGTAATAGGAATCGGGAAGGTTGCCTCCCGGTGCCAATTCCTGCAATCGCAAATGACTCGTTTTTGCAGTAATCAACGATCGCGACGTCGAATAAACTTGCCATTTCGCCGTCGGATAGAGCGACCCGTAATGAAAGCCTTCCGCCTCGTTAATGGGGAGTCTCGGTGGCTGGGGACGTGACCCGTCCAAATTGAAGAAAGATCTGCTCTTGCCATCGATTTATGGCATGCATCGTGCCTCCATGGGGCATCGTGCTTCCGGGTTCCTCGGCCATGAGGTGAGGGGAGAGATAGGGTGTCATGAATTTTGGTTACCCGTCTCGATCGATGCGGGGGGAAGAAGAAAAAAAGGGGAAAGCATTTGGCACTTCGTCCTTGTCAACCTCTCTTCTCTCTCTGCTGTTTCCACTCCGACATCCCTTCGTCTGCCGATACGTTTCGCTTCGAATTGCGAGGTGGGTGGGAGTGAGTTCGCCGCAAAAGATCGAAAACCGCGAAATCGCCGTCGAAAACCGCAGAAACTCGCAATACTGAAACCGCAGAGAACATAATCCGTGATCGCGCAAGATCGTGCCCGATCGCCAAGGTTGCCGAATTCCGAACTCAAAAATAAAATGATGACGGTATCCGCCGAACCCCTGAAAAATGAAAGTTCTCTGACATTTTCAAGCCGTAAACGATACGCCAAAAATACCTTCCGCCCGTTTTCGCGAATCCAATATTTTCCTCGAAGTCGCTGGCTCGCGTGATGCTCCAATCAATGTCAACTTTACATCAGAAGCGACATCTTAAGCAGAAGCGATATAAATACTTCTAATCAATTTCTACACATATCTGGAGACTTGCCTCGCCTCATCTCGACGACCCCCTCGAAATTCCTCGAAAAATCCCTCCCCCCGCCTCTCCCTTTCGATCCTTCGGGAAGCCGGAAAGGCGAGAGCGAAGGGGATCGGAGGAACGCATCCGGCAACCCTGCCTTCACCTTCTGCGGTTTCCGTGTGCGTGCTCCTGCGGTTCTTTCCCACGTATAAACAGACGTCTGAGAAGTCTTTTTGCGGTTTTGGATCTAGCCTAGTTTTCTTCCCCCTCCGAATTCGACGAGCCGACGGCGGCGGATTTTGCGAAAAAAAGCGGTTCGACTCGCGGGTCACTGGGTCGATTCGCGGGTCACTGGGTCGGTGACCCACGAATGCAATCACTTCTTTTGTCACATCCCCTCGGGAATTGAGCAGCTCGGGGCGGAAAGGCGATCGATACGAATCAGCTCCCCGGAGTCCATCCGCTATCTCCACGGTGGGCAAATTGAGTCCGTGTGATCGAAGGCGAGGAGAGACATCTAGCGCGGGGTGTGTCAAGCTCTTCAACGAACGAGAATTGCTCCTTTACCCCAAATCCGCTCCCTATCTCTGAATCGGCTCTCTATCCCTTGTCTGATGTTTTTGAGGAGATTGATTCCAAGTGCGGGAGTCTCCCCGTCCCGCCACACAAGAAACAGTTGTCTCATTCAAATTTATCGGAACCTGTTTACCTGGTGGAATTGGGGGAAATGAGGGTTGGGAGGGGGGGGGGGGGGGATGGGGGAAAGGG